TTGAAACACAGAGAGAATAATGTTAGGCGGTGGAGGTTTTTAGGGAGTTCTCAATACCTCTTTCAGAATACTGAGCTCTCCATTGGCTTGGCTAAGTTTAGCATTTAAAAATAAACAGAGACTTGCAGTTCAGAAACTTAGAGGAGGAAGGAAGTTAGAAATGTTCGTGCCCTGGAACAGGGACGTTCAGGATGGATGGCCCTCCAGAGCCAAGCTCGTAGCATCTCTCAGCTCCCAGTCCTTAGGTTTAGCAGCAAGCCTTGCTGGGACCCTTGTCTGCATTCACCCGGAGAGACTAGTATTTACTCAATAAATAGGTTGTTGCTTTAGATTAAAATCAAAACAAACAAAAGAAATGAAAAGAGAAAACGTGCCTTTATTCAACACGTACGATTATATCCCGATTCTTACAGTCAACTTGTAACCTAAAACCAGCCTCTGGGCCTCTGCAGCCAGATGGGGTGTTTCAAGGGCTTTGAATATGAGGGATGTTTTAACATTTCCTTGCAAGCTTAGATCCAAAGAGGACCTCTTTGGAAACTTGGCTGTGCTTAGTTTCCTGGCATGGGGATTGGCTGGCTGGATTTTTCCCTTCTACCCACAATGCTGACAGGGTGGAGTATACTTCCATGAAATTGTATGTTTCCAAAATAGGAGCCACGGTTTTACATGCTGCAGTTAGAGGAATGTGTACCTCTAACCAAAACAGAGAGGAACCCAGCGATTCTAAAAACAGAACGCCAGCCCTGCTCTCAAATCCTACGGGACGCCATTTTTGCATTTTACAAAGGGAGCTTTCAGTGGGAAAGTAAACCGAACAAATGATTTCCAGATTAGCCCAAATTTTCTTCTTATGTTTTTCAGTCTTACTAGGAACCACCACAGTCTCATGCGGTGACAGCACACATCTCTACGGCTTCTCAGAGGCCTCTGTGGTCTGGATGGCTTCCAGGCCAGAGCGTACAGCTCTTGTGTTCTGCGTCCAAGCACAACCCTGCACCAACCTACGTGTGAGGAACATTCCAGTGTTCCTTGCTGTCAGCCTGGAGTCATTGTTTCCGGTCACAGGACCATCTAACTACTACCTGCCACATATGTGGGCTGGGCATTTGGCCCAGTGGGTAGAGGGCGTCCCTAGCGTGAAGCAGGCGTGGGCTTGATCCCTGACACTGCATACCAGGCCTGGTGGCTCATGCCTCTGATTCCAGGACTTGGAGGGTATAGACAGGAGGAGCAGGAGTTCAAGGTCATCCTTGGTGACACAGGGAGTTGGGAGCCAGCCTGGGCTGTGTGAAACCTTATCTGAAAGCCAGCAATGACAGAAGACCTGGACATGGATGGACGCCTGAGTGTGAGGCTCAGGCGGAGCATAGCTACTGTTTTGTGGACTTCGTAGCTTCCTTGGTCATTAATCTTGTCCTCAAAAGAATCTGCTCCAGCATCTTGGCTGGTCATTTTCACTTCCAGGAGTGACATGGGAAACAGTTTCAGTTCTGGCACACAGCATGAGGACATGCTTACAAACATTTCCCCCAGGGACTGAAACACTGCCCCATCAGAGAGCGCAGTAAAGAGCTGGCCAGGGTCACGGCCAGCTGTGGTCCCCATCTGAGGACTGAGGTCTGGTCCTCCCCCAGGTGACAGCATATTTTGCATCCATGCTCCCAGCAAGTGCTTCCTAAATCCGTGTTAACACCCGGATGCCCCCTGACTTGGAAGTGTGTGAAAATAAGTGGAAACCACACACGACCGAGGGGACGGGCTGTCCCGGGAGAGATTCCATCATTGTGCTAGTAAGAGGATGAGGTGAGCTTTTACCTCGTTTCCCAGTTGAGGTCCGCCCTCCACCCGGTTTGGTCAGTTTTCAGAATCCCATTGTAGCTTTCCCTAATAAACCTGAAGGTGGGCTCCCTCTGGCCCGAGAGCCTGCTCTTGAGTTCTTAGCGGGTCTTGCCGTTTGGTTTTCATGCCCTTCACTAGAGAGGCATGTGGGGCGCACGGCACAAAGCTGACGCCTTTCCTCGCTCTCCTCGCCCCTCTGTCTGCTCTCTTCCTCTCATTTTGGAAAGTAGGATCTTCAGACTCGAAGTGGCTCGTCTTCAAAGCTGTATCTGCTTCCACAGTGAACTCTTGGCACTTAAAAGGGGTTTGATAACTTAGGGACCCTCTTCCCGGCTCCGTCTAGTCCCTCTAAGAACTGCCAGGTTGCGGAGATGAAAGCCCTTCCACAAAAGACTCCCAGGGTCTCCTGAAGAGAAGGTTACCTGGAGGGAGCCAGGCTCTGTTCCCCGGAGAACTGGCCAAGGGACGCAGTGAGCAAGACGGCAGAGGGCACCGAACCCAGAGCCCTGAAGGGTGGGTGTAGAGCTCAGAGGCCATGCGTACAGTTCTCCCGGATGAGAAGCATCCCTCCGGAGCCACGGGCCTCACTCTCTCCGCGGTCTCACTGAGATTCCTCCCAGGGGGTACACCGTGTGGTCAGTTAGCTGTTGTTGCACTTTGTTTTGAGACAGGGTCTCACTGTGTTGCCCAGGCTGGCCCAAATCTCACTGTATAACCTAGGCTGGCCTTGAATTTGTGATCCTCTAGTCTCAATCCTGGAGTACCGGGATTACAGGTTCATGGAGTCACACCTGGTGTTGGTTTTTAAGAACCAGCATTTCATATATTTAAATAAGGCTGTGCGAGCTTTACCTGTAGTTGAGAGGGTGTGTGTTCCTTCATGCGAAGGGCTTAATGGTGGGCTCTTGGTGGAGTTCCTGGAATATGGAGCATAGGAACTGGAGTTATGATTATAGCCTTGCTCAGAGGGGAGACAGCCAAGCACTTGGTGTGGACCATTAATCTCTTTGAAGAAACATGAAAATTGGGAACCATGGATTGGGGAATTGAAGCTCTGCACAGAGGAAATCAGAATGCCAGAGGATATAACTGTGACCATTCAGGATTCTTAGTGTTGGATATTTTGATTTACTCTTGTTAGGACTCTTAAGTTCATAGAAAGCTATGCTTCAGTGTTATTTATGCAGATTCTCACGAAGGAGCAAATCATTGGGCTTCCTTTTCTCACTGCCAAGTACTGGCGCTCAACTCCCTAAGAATCAATCTCTTTCTCTCTTTCTCTTCAACCCCACCACACATAAACACACACGCGCGCGCGCGCACACACACACACACACACACACACGTGCGCGCGCGCACAAACACGCACACATGCATGCACACACACAGTCACAGACACGCGTGCACACAGATACAAACATGCACATATGCATGAACATACAGAGATACACACAGACACATGCATACATGCATATATGCATGCACACACACAGATGCATACACAGAGACACATATACAGACACACAGACGCACACACAAACACAGTGCCCTTGAGTTCACTGGGTATTGCACTGATCCTGACATTTCCTCCCTGTTAGTCTGAGCGCTTTCGGAGTAGACAAAAGTGGCTTTTCGTAGCCAGCAGATGACTTTGGTCGTGATTCTTGTGTCTGGTTCCTTTCCTGTGTGCTGGAACTTGGGGATTAGAGGAATCAGAACTGTGGTGACAATTAAGGGCAAGTTAGGGACAGAGCGGTGTCCACTGAGGGGTGGCCTTCGATGGACGAGTGGACACAAGGTCTTCTGTTGGTTGGCCTCTAGAGCTGGATGGAGATCATTCCATGATACAGCCAAATGTTATGGGCAGGAGGAAATTCCTGGCTGCATGGTGACACCTGCAAAAACGGTTAGGAATTTATCAGGTAAAATAGTAGGTGGGCGTAAAAACAAAAGTTAGGGGTTTTTTTTTTTTTGTACTTTAAGTTTGATTTAAAAGGATTTACTCCCAGTGTTTGCTCTTCAGATCTGAGTCTAGGTTTTTCCCACCAAAGACTAACACATTTTGGTTTTTGGATTGTTTGTTGTTTATGGTGTTTTGTTGTTTGTTTGTTGCCCTGCCCTGTAGACTGAGGAGGGCGGAGAACAGAGCCAGTGTCCTATCCTCTAGCAGGCACTAGAAGGGCCTGTCGCAGCACCTGTCGCAGCACCTGTCGCAGCACCTGCGATAGTGCAGGGATTCTTAGCCACAATCAGCTCCTACCCCGATGGTCTGTCTCTGGGGAAACTAGGCTTGGGGTGACACTGAGTTTCCAGGCAGAGTCCTCAAAGTTAGATTAAAATCCAGAGCAGTGTGACCAGGAACAACCTGGCCGCCAGTAGTTCCCAGATGGTGTTGCAGAATTAGCCCTGCAGGGCCAGTCTGTGTGAGAGATGGCTGTGAGACCGCCCCTCAGCAGGAGCAGTGGCCTGGGAGCGAACACCTGGGTCCGGGAGGTTTCTAAAGGTCTCCTTCGTTCTGAGAGAGGGGTTTTGGAAGCAGGAGGTGCATGCAGTATTGCCGCTTCTGCCCAGAGATCTGATCCGCAGCTGCACAGGCTGACTATCTGCATTTTGCTTTCGGAAAAAGCATCCAGGTTGAAAGTTCAACTCAGCTACCTTTTCATGTGTCTCAAACATGTGAGGTGAGGCCTGGCTCTGAACAGACTTCAGTAGAATTCCACTTCATTTGGCCAACTCATGATCTGGTCTACCAGACTTCTGCATCTGTAAATTTTCATGTTTTAAGATGAATTGTTTTTAAATTTTATTCCTGCCTCAATTAGATAATCAAGATAGTCCTTCCACAAACATGCCCAGAGGCCATCTGTCAGGTGGTTCTAGATTTTGTCAAATTGACAGTTAAGCCATTAAAAGCAGGTACTGTTGAGTGTTTTGGGAACATTCCTGGTCTCAGTTCATCCTGAGGGCTCACAAACAAACTGTTAGATGAGAATGTTCTCACCGTGAACTGGCTTCAGCACCTGTTACATCAGACAGAGGGACATAGGGGCAGAGGTTACTGTCCATCTTTTGTAGTGATGAGGCCACCAGCGTCACCTGTACATCCTGCTGTGAACACCCGCATGCGTGTTTACGGCTGTCCTCTCTTCCCGGAACAGATACCAGTATTACCTGCAAGCCAAAAAGGATGTGCTTGAAGGGCGGTTACGGTGCACACTGGAGCAAGTGATCCGACTGGCCGGCTTAGCTGTGCAAGGTAAGGCATCTCTGGAATTCCATCTTCTGCTTCTTTACGCTCTTTCAGCGTGCACAGTTAGATTTAGTGAAGCGACCTCTGGCTGAGGCTCTGTGTTCATTTCAAGTTGTGCAGTAAGATGAGAGGTGGTTTCTCTCTGGGGAGGAGGGCAGCAGGAGGGTGGATTTCTCCAAGTTGCCTGCAAGTCAATCATGCTTGTTTGACGATGGTTCCATTAGGGTTTTAACTGAAGAGATAGTTTTTAAATCCTGCCTGTAATTGAGGCTGTCTGTGAGACTGTGGGAGATGTTTTCTCAGGATTATTCCTCTCTACGGTATGGTCATAGTCTGTACCCTGATGATAGGAATGAGTTACTGTAGTACAATAATCTCGAACCCATATTAATATTAATTTTAGTTAATAATGTTAATTGATATTAATTTCAGTACGATCGCTTTAACCAATGTCCTGTACTTCACTGTCATAGACACTTAGATTGATGATGGGCATGTGACGAGGAGCATGAATTGGAGTGAACTTGTCCTACAACCTGTCCAGCAGGTTTCCACCTTCCCTGCATTGTAGAATGTGTTATTTTCTATGTGTCTCTGTGTGCTTTCTGTTACTAATTTTTATTTATGTGCACTTGTATGAGTGTGCTCCAGGTATGTATAGGGGCCTGAGGAAGGTGTCAGATCTACTGGGGCTGGAGCTGTAAGTGGCTCTGGAGCACCACATCCGGGTGCTTGTGGCCAAACTCGGGTCTTCTGGAAGAACAACAAATGCTCTTGGCCACTGAACCAGTCTCCAGACTTGTGTTTGAATGGTGGTTTAAATGCATTTGTGCATATTGAAAATAAGAAGAGTATGTATAATATTTTAAAGATATTTGTGTGTGTGTGTGTGTGTATGTTTAAGTGTTACTTGTGTGTTTATGCACCATGTGCACAACACTTGGTGCGGCCAGAAGAGGGCATCAGATATTTTCGAGCCACCAAGTGAGTGCTAGGAACTGAACCCATGTCCTCTGCCAGGGAAGTGAGCATCCTTAACTGCTGAGTCACTTCTCCAACCCCAAGAGAGTAGTATATAACTTTCTTTTTTTTTCTTTTTAAGATTTACTCATTTATTATGTATACAACATTCCTTCCATGTATGCTTGCAGGCCAGAAAAGGGCACCAGATCTCATTATAGATGACTGTGAGCCACTATGTGGTTGCTGGGAATTGAACTCAGGACCTCTGGAAGGGCAGTCAGTGCTCTTAACCTCTGAGCCATCTCTCCAGCCCCCCAGTACATAACGTTCTAAAAGGAAACTGATCTCCCTTTCCGTTCTTATTTTCTTGCTAGCTGCAGAGTTCTTGTGGGCCATTGATATAGGAGCTATGAGCTGGGCTTCCCATCCCACACTTGGAACTTGAACCCTTTGAGTGCTAATGTCTGGAGAGATGGATTTCTTTAGCATTTCACTCTGGGTTAAAATGCCCAAAATATATTGCATTTGTCTGTCCTCCCAAGGAGCAGAGAGAGAAGAGACAGCAGCAGTTGCATTGGAAGCAGTAGTGGGGTCATTGCAATAACAGCAGCGGACTGGGAAAATCTGCCGTGTCCGCATCTTTCCTGGCCCCTTCTTCTTGAAAAGGCTTCCTTTCCCGTTCCTTGTGTGTAATCCTCCCCTCACTTTTCATTCATTTGGTATATTCCGGGCATCCTGGTGTTGTAAGATCCTTCAGGAAGTTGGTGGACTCCGTCTGGATTCCCTTTTTATTGGTTCCTTGAAGTGAACTATTTTGCTTGTCTGATGTAACTTGCTTTAACTATAGAACGTTTGAAACAGCATTCTCCAAGTCTGGGGAGATAGTTCATAGGGAAAGGGCCACTGTGCAAGGCTGAGGGCCTGAATTCGGATCCCAAGAACCAAGGAAAGTCGGGCACATGTGTGTGTGCATTGGAGGCATAGACAGGAGGATCCTAGGAGCTTGCTGGACAGAACAGTGGACTTGAGAGTCGGTGGGAGACCTGTCTCTTAAATACGGTTGCAGAAGCAAGTGAGAAAGATACCGGACTTTGGCCTCTTGTCTTCATGTGCCCACATGGAAGAGTGCGCGCTCGTGCGCGCGCGCGCACACACACACACACACACACACACACACACACACACACACGTGCATAGAGCGCTCGCGCGCTCGCTCTCTCTCTCTCTCCAATCCCTATTGGGCCATTAGAAAGTCATGCCCGCAGAAATAAAAGAAGTGATTGGAGACCTGGCGTGACTGAACTTGAACGCAGGCTTAGTGGGTCATCTTTGATGTTCTGAGGTCCTCATTTGAGAGACAGTTGCACTTCATTTTTGGGGGGATTTGTCACTGTCTCTGTGACTCCGTGGTGCTGGCATTTCTGTGTGCAGAGGCAGCAAAAGGCAAGGCATTTGCATGGATTTAGTCCACATGTGCCCCAGCATTCCACTGTGAGAAGGCAGCCAGGAAGAACAGAATTCCTGGCATCTTGTGACACGTCAGTGTGTTCAGGGGGTGTGAAGATTTTCCAGGTTGCCATGGGTGATTTACAGTGGGGATTTCCAGCTGCAGTGCCTTTCCAGCTATGTCCCTCTGTCTTAACCTTGACTTAGAAAGTCCCCTTGGCAGACAGACGTAGGATACCAACCTGGTACCCAAACAAACAGACACAGGTTGATTTTCAGGTCTTTAAATAGCCATTTGGGCTTGCTTTCCTAAAAATCAGCTAGTGGGGCTCACATGCCAGCACTGATAGTTGCTAGGTACAAGCGGGAACAACAGATACGGCTTGGCACCGGTCTTCCTCGACGGGGCTGCGGGAATGCAGTAGGCGGGCATATGCGGGCACACGTTTGCCATGTTTTATTCTCTCCCTGTCTTCATGTAACGATTGCTGATGTTTCCCTGGCTTTTCTTCTCAGCGGATTTTGGAGACTATAACCAATTTGATTCCCAAGAATTCCTCCGAGAATATGTCCTGTTCCCTATGGTGAGTTCATTTCTTTCTTTCTTTCTTTTTTCTTTCCTTGACTATTTCATTCTTTATTTTGAAATTCTCTGTGCTTCCTGGGGAGGAGGTCTTTGTCCTTTAATATAGGTACAAGTTTTATGAAGCACTAGGAGTGCAAGGGGGCATCTTCCCCCGTCAAGACACTTCTGGTTTTTCCTCCCAGCTAGAACCTTGGTAGCAGAGAGAACCAGCACCAAGTCTTGTGGGTCGGTGTTCAGTCTCTCAGTTCTAATGGTGTTTTTCTTTTTTGATGGAATCTATACTTTTTGTGTATATAGTCATGTAATCCGCAAATACGGACTATTTTACTCCTTTCTCTCCTGTGCAGATCTTCATTCATTTTTTCATTCATTATTGCCCTAATTATTTTAACTGGGCTGCTAGTACCATTTGAGTGGAAGTGGCGGGCACGGGCAGGGAAGGCGTCTCGGCTGTAGTTTGCGTAGCCATGGGTTCAGTCCTCAGAACCCCGAAAGAAGACAAGAGATGGGGTGAGATTGACGAAAGTATACAGAAAGCAGTTTAATTTATATGAGCATAAAAGACATATAAAACGTAGGAATAAATGCACCCAAGGAGCTGAAGGGCTCATGTCCTGACAACCATAGGACACTGATGAGAAAGTAAAGATTACACAGATGTTCTGCGGCCATGGCTTGGAAGAATTGGGGATAAAATGCCCATGCAACCCAGAGGAACCTACAGATTTAGTGCAACCCCTGTTGAAATCTCAGAGTCATTCTTCACAGAAACAGGAAAAACAAACTTAAAATTCATGTGTAGCCACAAAAGATGCCAAGTTGCGAAACCAGAGCCATGGACATTGTGCTTCCTGACCCTAAGGTGCATTATCATGTGTGCTGGGTAATTTCTGTCAACTGGACATAGGCTAGAGTCATATGAGAGGAGAGAGCTCCAACTGAGAAAACACCAGGACAATGCCTCCATAAGATCGGGCTATAGGCAAGCTTGTAGGGCATTTTCTTAGTTAGTGATTGATGGAGGAGGGCCCACCCCACTGTGGGTGGTGTCACGCCTGGGCTGGAGATCCTGGGTTCTATAAGAAAGCCGACTGAGCAAGCCAGCAAGCAGCTCCGCTCCCTGGCCTTTGTGTCAACTCCTGCCTCCAGGTTCATGCCCTGCTTGAGTTCCTGTTCTAGTTTCCTCCAGTCCTGGAGTGTGGGTGCAGAGGCCACACAAAGCCTTTCCTCTCCAGTATGCCTTTGGCCGTGGTGCTTCTTCATAGCAGTAGTGACCCGAAGGAGGACCACGCAGTGGCTGGAGACTGACAGCCGCATGGCGCTGACTTGTAAGCAGACTCATTGACCACTGGCTTTGAATAGAGCCCAGAAATAAGTCCACACATGTACAACCAGTTGCTTTTTGATGAAGAGGTCAAGAACAAGCAAGGGGAATGGCAGTATCTACAGCCTGTCCCTTGGGAGGAGAATCACGGCGACTGGGACCCAAGGCTTCTGAGGAGTTAGGGTTCTTGGATCCTGCATGGTGGCAATTGCTGCAATGAACAGAGACCGTTCAGGGTGCGGATCGGAGTCTAAAGGACAGATGCTGCGGTTCCCAAGTTTTCTTCACAACAGATTGCTCCGAGACACATGGATAGTTACAGGAAAGGAGACAGCTGACTGACTGGGGGAGGCACAGAAATATTCCATATCCCAACTGTGGTCTGGTCCTGCGAGGGGCTCGTCTCATCTGATGTGATCTTCTGTAGTCATTTATATAATACCCGTCCCCGAAGAGCTTGCGACACAGGTTCCTCAGAGCACGCTCCCTTGTCCAGCTGAAGCTCAGGTGGACTGAGGGCTGCCATTCTTTCCGCCGTTGCTTCCTTCCCCATGCCAATCTCTGGAACTCCTCCTCCATAGTTGTCCTTCCCCTGCCTGAAGGTTTTTGTAGGTGGGTACCACTGGAGAGGACACGCAGCTTCGGTGTCAATAGAGACATTAAAACATGCAAACAGACCCAGGGAGATGGTTGAACTGGAAAACTACTTGCCCTATCCGCGTGAGGACCGGAGTTTGATTCGCAGAGCGCACATCCAAAGCTGGGTGCTGTGGCATGTGCCTGGATCCCAGCAGCGGCTCAGTGGGAAGCAGAGACAGGCGGATCTCTGAAGCTTGCTGACCTGGTAGCCTAGCCTGCTTAGCGGAGCTCTAGGACAGGGAGAGAGCCTGTCTTGAGCAAAGGGTAGAAGGCACCTGAGGACCCCCACATGTACAGCATGCACATATTCACCCCCAATCCCATGCGCTCCCCACACGTCTCTTCAGGATAAAGAATTAATCTTGGCCAAACACATTCCAGACAGGTTCCCTATGATGAAGGTATATTCCCGGCTCTTTTTGAAATTTTTATCTTGAAGCAAGGTCTCAAGTTGCCCAAACTAACTCTGAACTAACTATGTAACTTAGGTTGGCCTTGGACTTGTGATCCTTCTGCCTCAGCTATCCTGACTCCCAATTACTGAGATTTTTGTTAGATGTATGCTCGCTCTCTTCAAAATGGTTTACCATTAGCCCCAAGTGGGTGCTCATCTTCAAATTTAACGTGAAATAAGTTAGATGTTGCATTGGCCACACCCTAATTGCTCAGTAGCCACGTGTGTCTAGGGGAAAGACCAGGCGTATTTTGATCTCCCCCCTCGTCTCCCTGGGCAGCGCTGGAGATGAAGCTGGTGGCTGCTGTGCTCACTGCTGAATTGGGAATGTTCCAGGCATGGCCTGCAACCCTCATCAATTTTTTCTGAGTACACATCCTGAGTCCACCATGCCGTGACCTGTTCTGGGTGGTCTGTGGTCTGAAACCTTACCACATAGTCGCTGAGTGGTGCTCTGGCTACACGGGGCTAGCACGCTTACGGGCTACACAACCTCAAACAAGTTAGCTGATGGTTCGAAGCCCCCGTCTTCACATCCGAAGTTAGAATAAACCCGTTCCCACTGTGAAGATCAAGGAGGAGATCTGTATGAGGGACCTACCTTGGTCCAGGGTAAATTCAAAATAACCAGTTATTTGGGTGTGTTACTATTACAGTGACTCTGTCTGTGATATGCAAATACGAGCTGATGAATTAACGTCACATCACTGCATTTTGAAATGCAAACTGAGAAGATAAGCAGAGGGGTACGCTACCGTTATCCAGTTTTGTATAGTCAAAACCTGCTCTACAATAATATGGAAATTTTATGCCATACATCGAGTTCAGTTCAGCCCGTATTTAGTGACTCCTTACTTTGTCTTATGAACTTGGAAGGGTCATTGTGGAAAAGCCCCATGACTGACCCCTTACCAGATGGAAAGAATGGCTGTCCTTGGCCGACCCAGACTCTAGCAGGTGACGGCAGACAAGGGATGAAATAGGATGGCGTGTAGATGGTGTGCATGTGGAACACAGAAGAAACACTGTAGACACAACATGCAGAAGGGTGTGGAGGCCCCCACAGCAGAGGAGCTATGGCCAGGGGAGGGAAGGCACCGTGGAGTATCCATAGTGAGAGAGGAGATGGGAGGTTTCCTGTTGTGTGGTGGGACTGTGTGGGCAGGAGTCTGAACGGAGACAGTGAAAGCCGTGTTGAGAGCAGAAGCCTGCCCGAGGCTCTGAACTCAGAGGGGAGGAGATCTGGAAGGAATGGCTGGGGCCCACTGAAGAATGGTCCAGATGCCAGGCCCAGGTGTGGGCCCAATTGTGCAAGCAGTGGGGAGCCGTGGCAAGTTCTCAACTTTCTGCTAGGTTCTGCTGAAGCTCGCAAAGGGAAGCATGCATTCCTCTGCTGAGGGAGGGAAGGCGGATGAATGGCCCTGTTTGATCTCCCCTACTCCCTGAGCTGTCAGGCGGCATCTCCTCAGCAGAGAAAAGAACAAAGTGAAGTACACAGGCGTTCCACAGGTGTGTGGCTGTGGCACACACCCTGCCATTTGTCATTCAGCCCCTGCCACGCTCACACATCTCTGGGGTGTACATACCTCTGCCGCCACCCCCCCCCCCCGACACACACACACAGGTGGAGGCATTGAGTTGAATATAATAGCAGAAGGGTGCCTTTGGGCGTTTTCAGAGTTGGAACTTAGGGTTTAATGGAGCCTTTTGATCTTCACTTCAGCTTGTTCTGTCCCCATATGCCTTTTAGAATTCGCACCTGGTGTGGCTTGAGGTGCTTGCAGCTAGTGTCGCAGGCATACAACACACTTGCAGTCTCATGATTGTAAGCTTGCTTATTTCCCAGGGTTCAGTTGGGAGATAACTAAACATTAAAGCTTGCAAAGACATGAGTTTGATCCCCAGAACCCACGTGGAAGCAAAGCTGGCTTGCAGTCCCAGTGCTGAGGAGGCAGAACCCGATGAGTCCCCAGAGCCTTCTGGTTAACTGGCCTGACCTCCCTGGTGAGTTCCAGGCTAGCGAGAGACCTTGTGTTCCAAAACAAACAGTGGGGAAAGCCAGCTAACTCACCAAGGTGGCTACAAGAGGCAAGAGCTGAGGTTATTCTATGCCATCCACACATTCATGTGTACACACACATGTACACACACACTACACAGGCTTATACCAAGCAATTTAATAACCATGCATCTGGGAGGCAAATGGTCAGTGAAGAAAAAAAAAAAGCTGCCCAGGTCCCACCGGCTGTGGTAGGAGCTGTGCTGTCTGAGTCCCACCGGATATGCTAGGATCTGTCCCTTGTGGGTCCCACCAGCTATGCTAGGAGCTGCCCCTCCTGGGTCCCACCAGCAATGCTAGGAGCTGTGTGCAATAGCAGAAACTGAACACTTGAGCCCATTCTTCTGCAGGAGAGAGAAAGGGAATGTGTCACTGGGGATGCCTGATCAGGGAGCCACTGACAGCTATCACCCCTGACCCGGGTGCTCCTGTTCTTCCAGGATTTGGCCTTGGAGGAGGCTGTTCTGGAGGAGCTGACGCAGAAAGTGGCCCAGGAACACAAAGCCCACAGGTAAGATGGGTGGAGACTGAGACTATCCAGCCAGCATAAAGCACTGTCTGTGGGGTGGGGTCTTCATAGCTCTGCCCTTCCCCTGGTCTGGGCCACATGGTTTCCTGACTTCTATCTTGTGACTGGGCTCTGGGTTCTAAGTGGAGCTTGGGGCGGGGCGGAGGGGGGGTCTGTGCTTTCCTGCTTCCTCACATCCCCTTCCCTCTTCCCTCTTTAAAATATTTGCGTTTTAAAATTGTAGAAATTTTCATATTCGTGATCCACATAGTGTCTTTTTAAAGCAGACAGCATTGTTCAGAGGGATGTATCAAATAATTGGTGCTTTAAAGGCTATGTCTCTTAGTTGGATAATTTACCTTCCCTTTCTTAATCCGTTTTGAGTAAAGGCCGCTGATCGTTAATGCCACCTTACCAAGGTGCTGCCGTCCCTGGTGGAAATGAACACCATCCCCAGAGACCGGGGCCGGCACACAGCTCCGGGATTTGCGTTAGGATGTTGGTGTTTGCCGCTGGCTTTGGACTGCTACCTATTTCCTCCTTTGGTGCTGTTTTGATTGTAGTGGGATCCCGCCTGCAGAAGCTGAGCTGATGTACATCAATGAAGTAGAACGTTTGGATGGATTTGGACAGGAGACCTTCCCGGTGAAGGTGACGCACCTTTCCTGCCCCTGCACTTTTCAAAGTTAGCGTGGGTGGCTGTGGGCCAGAGTGGCTTCCTTTCTCAGTATCATGTGGCATTAGTCGATGTCTTACTTACCTTTTCCTCCCTGTGACAAAAAGAGACCTGACAAGAGGCAGCTTATAGGGGGGAAGGTTTGCTTTAGCTCACAGTTCAGGGGGTACAGCCCTTGGTATTGGAAAAGGAATTGAGGCAACCGATCAGGTGGTGTAAGCAACCAGAAAGTCAGCAGGAAGTAGAACTGGGCGGTAAAACCTCAAGACTCGTCCCCAGTGGCACTTCCCCCAGCCGGGTTCCATAACCTCCCCAAACAGTGTTACCAGCTGGGATGAAGTTTTCAGACACATGAGCTTATGGGGACATTTCTCGTTCTGACTGTGGCAGTTAAGAACTCCCTTCAGGTAAAGCTAATGCTTTTTCTGAGCTCAGAGAGTTTGGGATTGATCTTCAGCAGATTATGCTCATCTGCTTGGACGGTTGTCTAAGATTAGAGACCACACAGTAGTGCGTCCCTCACCTTCAGCTGTAAAAAACAGACCCGTCTTTCTTACAACAGGGCAAGCAGCTGACGTCCCGTGGACACGCACAGCGAGGCTAGCTAGCAGTTTCTTCCTTTGTGTCTTCTCCTTACTTTCCTTTGGATGTGGGGTGATCACTGGCCAGACAGATTGAAGCGTCTCCAATAGCAGTCGTGTTTTGTTTCTGCAGCTCTGCAGAGCTGTGTGTGGTCGGTGTTTTGTGGAAGCCGTGCCCAGCAAATTAAAGCGCATGCTTTGTAACTGCCCCACCTACTGGAGTGGGTGTGACTGGGAGCCTCACGGAGCCCATCATCCAAACTCGTTCTCACCTCTCTGCTGACCAGCTCTTCAAAAGATGGCGTTCTATCAGAAACCTAATGCAGCTGGCACACCCCGGCAAGCTGGGAGGTGCCTGTGATTTCCGCGCACATTTTCTTCACTCTGGCCGCTTTAACACATGCTCGGGCCCCCTCTCTGGCTTGCTTGCCATTTGTGGTAATGACAACTGCCTGTGAGCGGTGGAACAGAATCAAGCGAGGTGGCCGCATCCCGTGAAAGGGGCTAAATGGCTCTCTTTTTGATTTGTTTAATTTTCTTTTGCTTCTCTAATGGCCGCCCTTGGTAGGACTGCCATCCATTTGCCTTGCAGTAATGCCTGGCGAGACCATCTGCAGCCCACTTACAGCAGCCCATATATAGTCACGATATTTCGGGTCACTGAAAAAAATCAGTAAAACTTTTCTCAATTTCTACCGAACCAACTTTTTCTGCCTGGAAGTTGGGGGTTTTGCTGTGGCCGTTGCTTGCTTATTTTTAGTGTCTGAGCCATAGGAAGGGAGGGCACTCAAGCGAGAGCCGAAGTCTACTTGTAGAGCTTGGATGTCTTTCGATCTTCAGTGGATTCGTCTAGTCGGTTCTCCAGGATATTAGCCTACCTTGGAGTGGGAGAACCAGCAGTGCTGATCTTTTTGGGGAACTTGGCTGAACTGCCAAATTCCCCTGGTATGTCTGTCCCTGATGGAGGTTACCATCTACAGACCCTGTGATGCTGGGTGACCCAGGATGCTAGGTGGGAGGGGGATGGGGAGTGGCCTGCCTTAAAGAAGTTTGCACAAGCAGAGAGCTGAGTGTGCAGGGATAGATGGTGAGATGGATAACAGGGCCCCTGTGTGCACTTCGGTTTAGAACCACCAGCCTTCCCATAAGTGGTTCCCGCAAATGTGCCCAGCCCTCCTTGGGTACCATTTATCCTTCCTAAAACCTCACATACACTCCTGTAGCTGCTGGCTGTGCTGCTCGCATACTAACGGAGCCTGTGAGCTCATAGAAGGTTGCTCAGATATGGCTCAACCCAGGGCTGCAGCTCAGGAACTCTCCTCAGGAACTCTCCTCAGTAGGATGCCCAGCATTTAAGTTTGGTCCAGTGCGATGCCCGTAGCATCCAGTGTAGCACAGCTGCACCAGACATCCCTTCTGTGCGTTTTTACATCGTCCTGCTCCAGGACTGGCTCTTCCTGAGTCACTCTTACACCCGACTCTAGTGTGAACCTGCAGGCGAAGCACCTGGGGTATTCGTGTAGGGTCTTCTTTCCCTCCCTTCTCATGCCTGCGCCTTACTTGGCAGCATACATCTTTCTGTGATATAACTTACCTTTCAGCTTTTCCTTGGTGTGCGAACCATGTTGTTTCTTCTCCCCCAGTTGCAGGCCCACCCCTCAGCTCGTGGAGTAGCTCACCCTGACATTGAGACATAATTTTCTTGCCACTGCTTTCTGCATGCTGGGGTTACTGGGGTGCACCACCGCGCCTGACCTGTTCTCTCTTCGTATCCTTCCTGGGTTGACCACCAGGCTGTCTTACCTTAACCCTGCTCCCCCAGAAGTCTTGAACTGGCAACTTTGAAGGGGAGGGTGCTGTCTCTTGCCTTATAACTATCTCTGTCTTTAAAATGACAAATTAAATGGTATGTATTTATTATGTACAGTGTCTTCTGAAACCTGTATGCATGTAGGATGGGGAATCAAGCTAATTCACGTATGTGTTATCTCACAATCTTAGCATTTTTGTGGGGTGAACATAAAATCTGTTCTCAGTGGATTTTTGAGAATACAGCGTGTCGCTACTAACTGCAGCCAGCACAGTGCACAGTAGATCCCGGAATTTGTCCCTCTAGTTTAGTTAGAGTTTGTATTGACTCGTGTCTCCTCACCCCTGCAACCTTGCTGCCCCATGTTGCTCCTTGCCACCCTGTTCTCTGCTCTGATGAGCTCCACTCCATCTCAGTGATCACAGAGTTTGTCTTCCTGTGCCTTTCTTATTTCATTTAGAATAGTGGCCTCTAGTTTTAAGCACCGGAGTATTCTGTTTAAAGCCTACACAGTATTCCACTGTGTGGTGTACACGCACATCATACCATACCTCACTATGTGATGTACACGCACACCATATCACACCGCACTATGGTGTACACGCACACTGTACCGCACCGCACTGTGGTGTACACGTACACCGTACCACACCACACTATGTGGTGTACACACACACTGTACCACATCCCACTGTGTGGTGTACAGACACACACACACACACACACACACACACGTACGTACCACTCCCTATTATGTGGGGTACACACACACCCTACTTCCACTTCCCCCACGTCTTTCTCCACTGATCTCTTGGCAGACACTGAGGCTGTTTGACCTTGGCTGTTGTAAGGCTCAGCAAGGTCTTGGTGGTAACAAACGCTTTCTGTTGATCCTCTGCAGGACAATCACGGCAACAGCACACACCTCGGCATTTTCTTTATGGGAATTTTTGTGAGGAACAGAATCGGAAGACAGGCGGTAATATACAGGTAACATGTTCCTCCCTTCAGAGACTGTGGGCAGGGCCATGGACTGTAGTTATGTAATGAGTTAAGAACCACACTGGACCTGGGTGGACTCTATTTTCTCAGTTCCAATAAAATTGGCCATCTTCAGGATTGATGGGGCCAGGGGAAAATTGATACTGCTTTTCCCAGAGGTTTAATTCCTTCCTCTCTGGCTACAGGAAACACGCATTTCAAGTCTACCAAGTCAGTGGTGCAGACCTTGAGAGCAGGAAGAGCGGGCTCTGTCGTCGGTCCTACTGATTGCTTTTGTTAGGACCGTCGCTCGATGTTTAGATCCAAACCAGATTCTTCCCACAGCCCTGTGCCCTCTGCCTGACCACATGTGCTAGCCAAGGACAAAATCATCTTTATACTAACAAAAGGGGACTGATTGTCTGCAGTGTGTTTTAGGGGTAGTTAGTCTGCGATAAGAAATGAAGCGACCTGGGTGCATTATTATTATTATTATTATTATTATTACTTGGACCCTTTAACCGTCTTTTCCACTTAGCACAAGCAAACCCTGTCCAGCGATGTGGTCAATGTCCGCTAGCTGGCTCTTTGCATGGTTGCCCGTAGCTTCCATGATGACAGCCTGCTCGCTTTTGTATACCTGGTCAGTCTGGCCTTGTGCTGATGGACAGAATGCCATTCCTATGCGTGCATCTGAGAAGAATAGCTGTATATCTAAGGCAGGTGATAAATGACAGCCCCAACGAGCTCTTGGGATCAGTCAGGGCTGCCTTTCCAGACAGTTTTCAACCCAAACCGCCCTGGCAAGTGTCGCCTGTCTTAGATCAGGCTCTGCCATCGTTTCTATGATTTTTCCCTCTTTGATTTTTGAAACTACAACATGTATGGAGACCTTTAGGATAAATGTTTAAGGGCTAGGGAACTGTATGTCAGTTGGTAAAGTCTTGCAAGGACCTGAGTTCTGTCCCCAGGACCCACAAAAAAGATGCTGGGTAGGGTGATGCAGGTCTGAATCCCAGAGCTGGGAGGCAGGCGCAGGTGGATCCTTGGGATTTGCTGACTAGTCAAACTAACTCGCTTGGCAAGTTTCAGACTGGAAAGAGACTGTCTCAAAACCCAAAGTGGGTGGTGACTGGGGACTGATACCCAGAGTTGTCCCCTGAATTCCACATGCACACGAACCTGTAGACTCGTGAGCACCCCTACACACGTGTGCTGTTGAGCTGAAGATAGCCACGCGCGGATGTCAGAACAAAGCCTCTGGCAGGGTTTGTTCCATCCCCTCAGGAGCTGTTCCCAGGAGGGCACAGGCTGAGGAGTGCCTGTAGAGTTTGGGCAGTTGTTTGAAGGAATTCAGCTGGCAGGGAGAAGCCTCCTGTCTTGAGATCCTGGAAGCAGCAGGTCTGCTCAGCCAGATGTCTCTGTCAGGAAGCATTTGGAAAAGGGAGAGGGCTTGTGGGCATGTGTGAGCAGCTCCTCTGGAATGGGCAGGTGACTGGGGGGACTTTGAAAACCCCAGGTAAGAACTCACTGGTCAGCCTCGGGGAGTGGATTCACTGACTCCGGTTCTCACCAGTGTCCACATCGAATCTTCTCTAAGAAGGAGCAAATCAGCCACTTTTTCCTGCTTTAGATAGGATGTGGGACTTGAACTCTGTGCAAGAGGCTGGCTCAGTGCATGGATTACAGACATGGAATCCCTACTGGGTGAGGAACCTGTGGTCTTCCGGGGGTCTCTTGAGAGATCTAACCCCCAAATGAAAAGCTTACATCACAGTGTGGTGGGGAGTGAGCACGCCAGAAGATTTTCTTTCTCTGGGAGAGTGGTAGGGGATGAGGAAGGGCTGGGGACGGAGTCCAGATAGTGCAGTTTGCCCAGCATGCAAGTAAGCCTTGCACTCAGTCCCCAGCACCATATTAATGTAAGTGTAGTGGCTGAAATATGAGGATCAGAAGTTCAAGGCCACCCTCGGCTACGAGATAAGTTTGCGATCATCCTAGAGTACTTGAAACTGTCAAAGGAAGGAGGAAAGGAAAACCAGACTCAGCAGAGATTGGGGTAGCTTCAGTGAGCATGGTGGATGGAAAAGGGACCGGTGGGGAGCTCTAGCTGGGACATCTGCTGAAGCTTGAGCCTTAAAAGAATGTCTAGAAACCAAGTAGAATGGGAGGCAGCCACTTATCTCATGGTATCTGGCGCCTGCTTCTGGGATTAGAGTCCTCACAAGACCTGGCGACCACAGCCCCACATGTAGGTGGATTCCCTGTGTCTTCCTGCCTGTACCCGTGCGTTGAGTCAGTTCTTGCACACCAGATCTCCGAGGGCTGCCAAGGAAAGTGCATGCATGTGTGTTTCCATAACTGGTCATAGATACAGAAACTACTGTTGGGCGTTTTCCCCAAGATGGCACAGTGACTCTGAAGTGCACGCTGCAACAACTTCAGCTATGCTTTGGGGTCATTAAACCAGGCAGGGATCACGGGAAGCGCCTCATCCGTGAGAAACTTGGGAGGACGGTAACAAGACCTTTGCAGATTTTTCTCATAGCTACCATAAAGAAAACTGCATCTCACGAATGAGTGTCAGTATGTAGATAGATTTTAGATTGAATTATTATCTATGTGAGTTGTGCGCATTGATTTCTTTCCATTTTCTCCTTTGAGAGGTGGAACATTTAAAGTAGTCAGATATTTAAAATAGTTAAGTCATATTTGTAAGATGAGACATTTCTCGTGGTGGAGACACGGACCATCTTTGAGTAAACCTAGTTTCATTTCTTTGGCCCAGGTGGAATGACATTGGAAGTGTCACCCACAGCAAATCCGCCATCCTTCTAGAACTGATTGACAAGGAGGAGACGGCACTCTTCCACACAGTGAGTCCAGGGATCTGCATAACTTGAGGGGGTTTTTTTTCTTTAAGCTAACAATGCGTTGCCTCATTCTCTATGTTCTGATACTTGCTTGTCCTAATACTTTTAATGTTGGGGGCACTGTTGTCATCTATGAAGTCTACACTCAAGGACTGCACAATCAAGTTACACACACACACACACACACACACACACACACATATCCTAATAATATTTTAAATATGTTTACAGTGCTGAACTGCCTTCCTAGGTGTCCGGGGACCCATGCAGCTCATGGCTGCATATTGGACACAACTCTACTCCGTAAGGGACTCAGTGCTATTGAAGGGGTTCTTCCTAATACTTGCCTGGTCCTGCATGACCTCTTGCAAGTGATGAATGTTCTCACTAGGTTTGTCCAGCATGCCATGTCACTCCGGTCACAGTCTTCCTCAGGTGACTCCTAATTAAGTCACATTGCATTTTCTGTTGCTGGCTGACCTGGGTTTTCTAGTCCCCTCATGACCCTATATTTGGGTCCCTTCTTAGGAGTCAACATTGTTTCCCTCGTCATCCTGTCTCTGGTTGAATGACATTGTTAATTGTAGGCTACAGTGTTGACTGTAGGCCCTGCCTTGATTCAAGAATTGGTTTTGAAAGTTCAGGTGAGAACCTGGCAGTTCCTCACTGCAGACCCAGAACCTCTGGAGAATTCATTGACAGATGGTCATTTCTGCCATCTTTGCCAAGCCATGGTAGCGTGGACTCCACTGACATCACAAAGATTGGTTTGCTTCCTGGCCCAGCGTGTTATTCTGTACTTTGAATGGAAGGAGAGGGGACGGGTGTCTACACAGAGAAATCTATGTGACGTACATATCTAATCTAACGAATGCTTCTTTCTTTCCCATCTCTTCTTTTCCAAGGATGATATTGAAAATGCCAAGTATATTTCCCGGTTATTTACAACACGGCACAAGTTTTACAAACAGAACAAGATCTGCACTGAGTGAGTAAATGTTTAGTTCACCGTCCCTCTGGATGGCTTGGTCCTATTAAATCGGGGCTTCTGAGAAGTCGTGGTCCCGTTTCCAGTCGTTCTTTCCCCTTGATCTGTATAGAAGCCATAGGAGGAGTCTAAAGCCAGTCAGCAGCGAGAGACGTTTAAGTGCCGTCTACTGCAGTCCGTGTGCCTAGAGAGACAATCATTTCCAAATTGACTATAAATGCTTCACTTCCTGGATGGGTGGGCCGCATCAGTGCCGTTCCGGCACTCGGCTCTGAGTTCGGAAGAGCCCAGCTGTTCCCAATTTGCCCAGGTGCCCCTCCGTGTTAGATGTGGAGTGTATTCAGAAGTGGGGAGCGGAGTGATGAGCCAACTTAAAAGAGAGGATGCTGCCGCTGGATCAGCCTGTTTCCGCTCACAGTTGGCTAGCCCTGCGTGTGCTCCTGGGTCGTGCCATCTGACTGCAAATGAGAGGCCAGGGTAATTAGAGGGGGATTTGGAAGGCACTCCGAGATGGCACGCATCTGTGTGTCTTTTTAATTTAGTTCGGAAATAAAGATGATAAATCTGAGCCTGATTGAGAGCACTTCCTCGTGGCCTGACCTCGGAGGCGGCGTGCGGGGGCCACTCTGTCAGCGCCTTTACATAGGTCGCTTTCAAAAGGCGTTCCTCAGCGGAGCGCATTTGCCGCTTGGGCCCCCAAGGTGTTTAATTTTGATTCAAAGCGCATCAGGGATGTAAATGCAAGCGAGGGGCTGTCTACGCTCCCACAGTGGGCACATCCAAGCAGGGTGGCATATTGCAGGACGGCAGGTGCCACTGCAGAAGGCAGCAGCTCAGAACTGGAGCCCCAGGTCAAGGCAGACCTTTTCCCTCCATGTAGCCCAGGCCCTTTCAAACCAGACATTGCAATTGCTTGCTGCTAGGGTCTGAAAGTACATCTGATAGGCTAGGCCTACCCGCCAAGTTAATAGATGGGTTAGGAGGGCCAAGCAAGAACATAACCATGGCTTCTGCAGACACGCTCATCATACGCATATGTTCCGTTCTGCTCTTGCCTTTGAATTTGCGTGGTGGCCTTGGCACCATCGAGAATCCTATGGCTGACTTCTGTGTGGTGGATATGAATCCCTTTGAGAGTTGCCATCTTCTGCTCTAACCGTTTCTCAGCACAAAGCTCCATTGCTGTGTTCAATATTCATGTTTCTTCTGTGGTCTTTTCTAATATCTGTGAACACCGCATTTAACCTTGAAAATCAAGAATTCCATCCTGGGGTAACCTTGCCTTCTTCCTTGGCGTGGCATTGGAAGCAGTTAACCTCATCCTTCCCACATACACATGGAGTTCCATAGTCTCAAGTCAAGGGCATTCCTGTTGAGTGTTCCAGAACGTGGATCGTCTCTGTAGCCGCCTCCTCCATCTAGGACTGTCCACTCAGGAGCCGCCCAGGCTCACCAGGCAGCATCTGCCCCTGCACAACTGGTCCTTGCCTTCTGGATCCTTCACCCCAGGGCGGGCAGCATTGGAGAACCATGTTTAATCTGGGAGTGATACCACTGAATTTGACCAGCTTCTAAAAACCCACATTACTGCCTTACCCCTGTGGTTTCACCAGAGCAAAGATATTTATCTTGTCAACAGGCAGGTAGACAAGCAAAGTCTCCAAGTCAGGGAAGTCTTTATTTGAAGAAGCTTAGCCCGAGGAAAAGTCTGTATCTTGTATTTCATTTTGTTTTTTAAATACTGTGTGGTGTTGGAACCTCATGATAACCACTCTCAAGAATGGATGTGTTCTGGCTTGCCACACTTCTCTGTTATTGTTGTCGTTGAATCAATGCTGAAGTATTCTCTCTGTGGAAGATTTTCTGGGTTGGGGACATACCTCAGCTATGGAATATTTGCCTACTGTTTGCTGGCTTTGACCCCCAGCGTCAGAGCAGAGTTAAAACAAACAGAAAAGGCATCTGGCTTGATAAACATTTGCAGAATGTATTATCTTTGTGGGCTCGAACTGAAAAATATTTTCTCTATTTTGGAATCTTATTTAAACTGGAAGCATTTTCAAAATATTTTCATTATGGACCTACACAGGTTTACACAGGACACTGTTTTAAAAGTTCACATGATGTGAGGTTTTCCGATCTTTATTTCTCTCATAATATTTCTTTAGAAGTAAGCCTCTTGTTACTTGTTCTTCTAGTAACAATGAGCAAAGCTCTACAAAAATATGTGTTCCAAACATTTTGAGCATGAAAGAGAACAATGGTAGAGCTGTGTTCTTAGTGTTGGTGTGTGGTCATGAACTGTGTGTGTTGTGTGTTCTTAGTTTTTGTGTGCAGTCATGAGCCGTGTGTGCTGTGTGTTCTTAGTGTTGGTGTGCAGTCATGAGCCATGTGTGCTGTGTGTTCTTAGTGTTGGTGTGTGGTCATGAACTGTGTGTGTTGTATGTTCTTAGTGCTTGTGTGTGGTCATGAACCGTGTGTGCTGTGTGTTCTACGTGTGCTGTGAGGTAGGTAGGCTTCGCTGGTCTGGCCTGGCCCCCTTCCCAACTTCCCTTGTCTGTCTGACCTTTTGGACTTTGGTCAGCAATAACGATGGTTTTCATTTTTAATCTTTCATATAGACAGTCAAATTCTCCACCCCCAATCAGACGCCAGCCCACCTGGAGCCGGTCCTCCCTGGTACGTACACTCCTCAGTCTCAGTCGGTGGTCTGGCTGCTGGGATAAGGGTTCTATAATGGATTTAAGGGGAGGTGATTCAGGGTACCATGGCCGGGGGTCATGATTCACTTGCAGGAGGTGTGGCAAACATCCCCCGTGTCCCACTTACCCGTGAGCACCTCCCTCTATGTGGCTTGAGGTTCTCCCCAGTCTTACTCCAGGCCAGAATGATCATATACCTTAGACCATTGACCATTTGCTCGTCTGTTCTGGTAACGTGCCCCAGAGTCCAAGGAATTCACTGCCATACATAGAGCTGAGCAAACTAGCCAGAAAATGCTTTTTAAATGAGCTGCAACCAAATGAGTCTAGTTAATGGTTTCAGTCTATTGAAAGAATGGGACATTTTCTAATTTCCAGACTTTAGTCAATAAAGCGCCTAGCCTTTAGCTGATTTTTGCTTTTTAAAAGCTGTTCTTTTTCCTGGTGCTGTGATCAGGAAGCACAGCTGTATGTGAGTCCCACTGCGGGCTCTTTGTGTCTTCAGGGTTATGCAGGGGTGCTGGAGCAGAGCTGCCCTGTTTGTTTCCTACTGGCCTTGTCGTAGCTCTTCAAGGCGTGTGGCTTTCCTACTCTGCTAGACGTGCAGTTCCCTGGAGTCCAAAGACTCAAGCACCAAAGAGTTTTCTCAGCAGCCAATGTGTATCTAGCCTGTCTTCAACTTCTCCCTTAGAAAGTTTGGAGGACATTTTCCTTCCTTCCTTCCTTCCTTCCTCCCTCCTTTCCTCCCTCCCTGCCTCCCTCCCTGCCTCCCTCCCTCCTTCTCTCACGCTCATTCCTTCAGTCTCCTCTGTTAGTGCTGTCTTCTGTTACCTTCTTCATCTCGTGTGTTTGTTAGTGAGATCAAGTGTCATTTGTACCTGGGAACTGTGATGGCAGAACACTCTTCTCGGGCACTCGTGGGATCCAGAGAGCCTCCCTTTCTCACTTGGGTGAGGTGGTCTATTTGGCTCTAGATTCTGAGGCCTCTTGTCACCTTGTCCTGTAGGTCTGAGTTATTCCTCTGAGTGAGACAGCAGCTGACAATGTCTTAATGGCCCTTGCTGTTATAAATCTTAACTTCCTTACCGGTTTCTGTCTTTCTCTCTCTTTTATGATGTCTGTTCTCATAGGTTTTTGTTTGTTTGTTTGTTTTTGACAAGTTTACGCAAACCCCTAGTTATGCCTGGTCTATGGAGTCTCAGCTTAGAAACTGTGACCCTAAAGTCATCCGCCAGGACTTCTGTGATTATTTAGAAGTCTGAGCAGTGCTTTTTCCTTGGCACCTGAAACTCTCTCTGTTCATTTCAATGTTTTTCTTCTCTGATTCATGTTGATTCTGGATCTTTTGTTTTCATGACCTTCCTTGTTCCCCATTTGGGGCCTTGAAATTCCCTAGGTAGACCAGGCTCCCCTCGAAGGCACGGAGATCCGCCTGCCTCTGCCTTCCAAGTGCTGGGATTAAAGGCGTGCACCCCACTTCTGAGTCAGTTGTCTTGAGACAATAGCTCTAAGACTGGAGGAGATAGGAGACAGACACCCCCTCAGTCCCCCAACATCAAGGATGCCCTCTTGTGCAGCAGGAGTGGCTCAGAATGGTCTAAATGCCGCATTCAGGAGTCAATGGGCAAAATTCTGCATTGCCCAGGAGGGCGTCCTTTCTGAACTAGAGTGTTTGTCTGGCCCATGCCACGTGTGATTCTCAGTGGCCTTGAGACTGTGTGCATCATATTATTTTACTGGACACCTATGTAAATTCACTGCGGGGCCCAGTCTAACACAGCCCTGACCCTACACCAGCCTCCTGTGGATCTGTAAGCTGGAGCCATGGCCCCTGCTGCCATGTAGGGAGCCGGTCTTGGACACAGCAAAGCACGTTTCTTGGGTGGGTACATCCCTTTAGACTCCACCTGCTGCAAAGGCTCCGAGAACGTGGCCAGCGTCCGACACCCCAGCGAACAGCTGCACCCACACATGGGATGCTGGTGTTTTCCCCTCTCTGACCTTGAACCTCTGCTATTCTCCGTGTCACTGGGAGCTGGGAGCTTAGATCAGTAGAAGAGGGGAGGTCAGAGGGGTGGCCTGCAGAGCAGCTGCGGTCGCTTCCCTGGGCCGGGACTGTTTTTCTGACGTCTCCCAGATGCCTTTGCGGCATCTGCAGCTCTGTTTTCTCTGTTTCAGCCAAGGCAGCAGCCGTACATCCTGCCTCCCATGCACGTGCAATGCAGTGAACACTACTCGGAGACCCACACTTCCCAAGGTAACTGTCCTTCTGCTGTTGTAAGACACAAGGCTGGGTCCCAGGGCACCGCAAAGACATTTGCTGGAAAATGTCAATGGTGGTTGGATTTTAACTTTGTCATTGTCTAATTACAGTGGCCAGCAGATTCAATCTGTGAAATTAAGCATAGTAGCTGCCTGGGAAGGAAAGTCCCCCAGATCCGGCTAACTAGGAAGACATGTGACTGGGCCGAGCTAGAGGATGTGCTCTTGTTCCCTCACCTCCCATTTTTAGTGGACCGAGGGTGGAGACTGACAGCCCAGCCCTGTCCGTGTACTTACTTCACCCTGGGTGCCCATGTCAGGAGCTTGGAGCGGCCACATGGTTCCGGGGTGCCTGAGCGAACCTCTCACCCTCATCATTCAGGGGTTTTTCTTACCATCCCTTCAGGCCCTTTTCTCTGGGTGCCGGGACAAGAATGAACATGGACCCGTGGTTGTGAGGTGTCAGGTGCTAGGCGAGGAACTTGTTGTGTATTGTCTCATTTAATCCCACAGTAAGCCTGTGGTGCTATTGTTTCCATACAGCAATAGGGAGACGGAGGTTAAATGCTAGACCTTGGATATAAGAACTGTGTGGGTGCCGGTGCGTGTGGGCATGCGTGCGTGTGTGTGTGTGTGTGTGTCTGTGTCTGTGTGTGTGTGACCCTGCATATCCAGAGTGTGTGTGTGTGTGACCCTGCATATCCAGAGTATGTGTGTGTGTTTGTGTATGTGTGACCCTGCATATCCAGAGTGTGTGTGTATTTGTGTGTGTGTATGTGTGTGACACTGTATAACGAGAGTGTGTGTGTGTATGTGTTTGTGTGTGTGTGAGACCCTGCATATCTAGAGTGGACCTGGCTTAGAAACTGGCGTTTGTGGCTTGTGGGTCCTGACTTAGAAACTGGTTTTTGTGGCTCGTGGGTTGGGGAGGTGACTCAATGGTTGCCTTAGTTGGGGTTTCTATTACTGTGGTAAAACACCACGACCAAAAACAATGTGGGGAAGAAAGTTTATTTCGGTTTACACCTCTCAGGTCACACTCCACCACTGAAGGAAGTCAGGGCAGGAGCCCACAGTAGGAACAATGCAGAAGGCCTCAGAGAAGCGTTGCGTCCTGCCTTGTTTCTCATGGCTTGCTCAAAGACCATCTGCCCAGGGTGGGAACACCCACAGTAAGCGGGGCTCTCCCACATGAACCCTTCATCAAAAAAAAAAAAAAACAAAGACAAACAAACAAACAAACAAAATGCCCCACAGACCTACCAACCGTGTGGAGGCATTTTCTTGACTCTTCTTCTTTCCCATATGTAAAGTTGGCACAGACAGCAGCACAGCAATCCCGTGCAGGAGTAAGCTCCGGAGTGTGGATGCTCAGAATTCACCCGAATGCCAGGTGAGAGTAGCGACCCACCTGAAGTTCCAGCTCCACAAGGCCGAGGGATCCCAACGCAAGTGGCTACTGAGACTCAGCAGCAGCAAGCTCAGAGTGGAGCTGAGAGCCGCTGCCTGAGCGGATCACACAGGATGACTCCTAGCACAAACATTGGTCCTCCATGCAAGTGCATACACATGCCCCCACATGCACACATGCCCCCACATGCACACATGCTCCCACATGCACACATGCCACAGATGCCCACACATGCCCCCACATGCACACATGCCACAGATGCCCACACATGCACACATGCCCCCCCATGCACATATGCCACTGATACACATGAAAACTGCTTTTGTAGCTCTTTAGGTTCCTTCAGCCAATGTTACTTTTTCCTGGAATTAGCTAGCAGGAGGCTTCAGGAACACCTCAGAAACTCTTGATTCTGACCTTTTTCGTCCGCTGGCTGCTGTTCAGAGACCATGGCCATGCTGGCCACGCCGTCAGCCTCGCTTCTCTCTGAATGCTCGTCAGTCCCTTAGGCTAAGAGCCCTTTTCTGATGGAGTCAGAGAGAGTAGTTCTGAGGGTGGGGCAGGCAGTTCAAGTCTATTACTCTATTAAAACTCTTGACTTTCTGCCCCAAATATCCGGTTCTGCCCTGAAGCTGTGTACAAGAGGCCAGGTCTCCCCAACAAGTGGCTCATTGTCTCAATCTAATTATAGCAATTTGAGATGGTGCCCACGCGATGCCCACGCTGTGCACTTCCGTTGCAGTGCGCTCTGACGTGTTCTATACATGGACACTTTATCCGAGATAGCAGTTCTTGGTGACATATGCGGGGGAGTGTCAGGAAATTTGCCTTTTATGACTTATTTCAGTCACCCACTCCAGGGACTTAGGGATGAGGTCTCGTGAAACAGTGTGGCGTAATGGTTCACGTTCCTGTGTTTGACTTTTTGCAGACAGCATTTTTCCTGGGAATGAGGAAGCCTTGTATTGCAAATCTCACAACAGCCTGGACTTAAACTACTTAAATGGCACCGTCACCAATGGCAGTGTGTGCAGTGTTCACAGTGTTAACTCCCTCAGCTGCTCCCAAAGCTTCATCCAGGCCTCTCCGGTGTCCTCCAACCTCAGCATCCCTGGAAGCGACATCATGAGGGCGGACTACATCCCCAGCCACCGGCACAGCACCATCATTGTGCCCTCTTACAGGCCCACCCCTGACTACGAGACAGTGATGCGGCAGATGAAGAGGGGGCTGATGCACGCAGACAGCCAGAGCCGGTCCCTGCGGAACCTCAACATCATCAACACCCATGCCTACAACCAGCCTGAGGAACTGGTGTACAGCCAGCCTGAGATGCGGGAGAGGCATCCCTACACCGTCCCATACGCGCCCCAGGGGGGCTATGGTCACAGACTTATTAGTCCATCTGACCAGATGAACCCCCAAAACAGTGTGGTGTGTAGCAAGCCAGGGGCCAGCTCTATCTCACACACGGTGAGCACTCCAGAGCTGGCCAACATGCAGCTTCAAGGAACACAAAACTACAGCACAGCCCACATGCTCAAGAACTATCTCTTTAGGCCCCCACCCCCTTACCCTCGGCCTCGGCCTGCCACCAGCACCCCAGACCTCGCCAGCCACCGCCACAAGTATGTCAGTGGCAGCAGCCCTGACCTGGTGACTCGGAAAGTCCAGCTTTCCGTGAAGACCTTCCAGGAGGACAGCTCTCCCGTGGTCCATCAGTCTTTGCAGGAGGTGAGCGAGCCCCTTACAGCCACCAAGCACCATGGTGCGGTGAACAAGCGCCACAGCCTGGAGGTGATGAACAGTATGGTACGCGGCATGGAGGCCATGACACTGAAGTCACTCAATATCCCCATGGCTCGCCGTAACACGCTTCGGGAGCAGGGCCCCTCCGAGGACGCGGGTGGCCACGACGTGCACGGGCTTCCCCAGTACCGCCACAAGAAGACATTCTCGGATGCCACTATGCTAATCCACAGCAGTGAGAGTGAGGAGGAGGAGGAGGCCTCTGAGGCGGTGCCTCAGATTCCGGTCCTTCGGGAGAAGGTGGAATACAGTGCCCAGCTGCAGGCCGCCCTGGCACGCATTCCCAACAGGCCCCCGCCAGAGTACCCAGGGCCAAGAAAAAGTGTCAGTAACGGGGCACTGCGACAGGACCAGGGGACCGTCCTTCCTGCCATGGCCAGAGCCCGGGTGCTGAGACACGGGCCAGCCAAGGCCCTTAGTGTCTCCCGGGCTGAGCAGCTGGCTGTCAATGGGGCCTCTCTGGGCCCCTCCATCTCTGAGCCTGACCTCACCAGCGTGAAGGAGCGGGTCAAGAAGGAGCCTGTGAAGGAGAGGCCCGTGTCAGAGATGTTCTCCCTGGAGGACAGCATTATAGAGAGAGAGATGATGACTAGGGTGAGTGTCCCCACTCCCAGGTCACTGATGGAAGGGAGACCTGGCGATGGAGGCCTAGAGGAGGGAGGCTTCAGGGAGCATGCTGGGCCCTAAAGGCCTATGGGCATTTCAGCCTTGATGTCCCCAGATGTGGGTTTGCTTTGTCAAGCAACACCTACCATCCCATTTTCATTCGTGGCTACGACTGGTATGTAGTACAGAACATTCTAGTGACTAGGTGCGTTCCTGAGGAAGTTACCAATGAGCCCAGGTACGTCCCTGAGGTGGTTACCACTGCGCCCCAGTCCCCGTCAGGGTTGCTCTATGAGAAGCTCACGTGTGCGTATGTGCGTGCACATGCATTGTACATGCGTACACACCACATTTGAAGACACGCCACAGTGTTACTGTTACAGATAACCCTTCACAGGGATGCACACAGCTTCAAAAGCTAGTTCTGCTGTTGGAGTGAGACCACACGGGGGCAGATATGTGTAAACAATAAACACCTCTTACAATGAGAACATTGTTGGATTGTAGTTGCTGCTGCTGCTGCTGCTGGAAAAGGAAAACCCTCCACTACTGTTTTTCCTGGAAACCCTGACCTCCCTAAAAAGCCTTTCAATTATGTAACTAATTGAGCTGGTTGACGGCTTTTCCGCTGGTTACAGCTGTCAGGTAGTCGGCCTTGTCAGAGGTCATTAGACTCATTACCCAGTCTTCCAAACTCATCCTTGGGAATCAACCCAGACAGAGGAAGCAAAGGCCAAAGTTTTACAGAAGCACACTGCTGGGTTGAGAGGTCGAATCCAACCTTACTACTTTAGAACAGGCTGAAGGCAGCTCAGCCCTGAGATTTTGGTGATCAGTAGGGTGGCAACAAGAGTCAACCTGGATGGACCTCATGCTTCTTGCTCTGCAAATGGGGAGGGAAATTTTGAAGTCTGCCTCTGGGGGTAAACACACACACACACACCTTTGGCTGGGGATGGAGTGAAATGCGGGGGTGGGTACCATGAAGAGACAGCTTTCCCAGCTTGGAAAAAAGTAATTCATTGGTGTAAAGTGATGTCTCAACACTTCTTGGCTCCAGGCCTCTTAAAAGCTGCCTTGGCTTCAGGAATCCATCACCGTAAGCATTGAGCTTCGAAGTTGGCCCTGACAAGTTGAGACTTAACAATGTCCGCATGGTCTTGTAACCTCATCTTGGCTATCCTCATCCTCTCCTGTTGCCCAGATTAAACAAATAGCCTGCAGCCAGGGCCCTGATCCCGGGGCCCCATGCTTGGAAGCATGGTACAGACACCGAAGAAAAGTGAAGGGCTTCCTGCTGTCTCCTTCCCAGTTCTGTTTTCTTCCAGGATGGCAACTCACACTGACTGGCAGATTCCACTGTTAGCTTTTAGCTCGGGAACTGCATTCCTGTTCCTGTTAGACCCCCTCCCCCTCAACTCACACGGCCTCATACAACCGGGAGTTCACAGGCTGCTACCCTCGAGGTCAATGTCCCAACCTCAGAGAAGCACCCGGAGGTCATGCAAGAAGGCCACCTGGGCCAGTGGCTCTACCACTCAAGATGAATCTTTGTCATGAAGTCTGTGTAGGCAGCACCCACACAGCTTCCCCACTCATCTGTATATGGAGGGTAGGAAAGAAGGCTACGGCAGCCATACCAGCCCCTCTGGTATGAGAACAGAGAGAAACCTCAAGCCTCTGTGGAGGATTGGGAACAGTGAGCTCCCTATAATGGATGGCCTAGCTTGTTGCCGTAGGGCCCATGCTTCAATCCTACTGCCACCTCGAAGACATTTCCCACCTTCTGGCCCCGAGCCTGGAGTCATATTCAGAGAGCAAAGAAAGCCACTTCAGACCTTCGAGATTGATTTATTTCATTCATTTATTTGTTGTCCCTGCTACAAAGCTAATGGGGTAAATGACACCAGCACCAGAGAGGCCTGATTCCGTTATCTCCGTATCCAGTTCTCCCCGGGTAGGTAGTGAGCTTTTCCCAAGAACAGCAATCCCTGAGCTCTGGAGGCAGAAGCAGGAGGATTGCTTGCAAGTTTGAGGAGCACCCAGGACTGCCTAGTAAGACCCTGTCTCAACAATCAAACAAAAACAAAACCTTTGTTTTTTCATTCAAAACTGAATGAAAAGAAGGGATAGGAAAGAATTATCTTTCACAAAACTGAGCTAATCAAGGGGTGAATCCAGATATATCCCAGAGACCTGCTTGGCATGGAGGTGCCAAGACTGTTCACTCATCAGCCACCCATCACATCTCACTGTGCCCTCCTCTCTGGTGCACCTTTGGTTGTCCGTGGGTCAGCCTGTCACCAGCGTGGTTGTCCTGTTGGTAACATCCCTCACAAAGGCGTCTCACCCATTGTAGGAGCACATGGATGACAGTGAAGCCCATGCCTGCCATGTCCCTGCCACCCCGCCCCCACCTTACTCAGCGCCACGTTTCCAACAGCATGGCACCATCAAGATACCTCCTCCAGGAGTAAATTGATTAGCAGTGCAATAAGAACAAATCCTTGACGGTCCCAGGCTGCCACCTCGTCTGTAGCAGTCACAGGCATCTACAAACTGGCATGACGTCATTGTGCATCGTGACTCTTCCTGAACATCTAAGACAAAATTATTTTTAAGAGCTGTGCACAGCAGACTGCCGGCAGTAAACAGTATTTCCATCCCCCTGCTGATGGCAGGGACGCGAGGATGCTCAACACTGCTCCAGCATCCATCCCTGACCACACCGGGGTCAGCCCAGAGATGAGGGGGAGATAGGATTGGCTAGGCCACACTCCTGCCAAGCCCCTCCAGCAAGGGACAGTAGCCGCTACCCTTTGTCTACCCTGAATGGAGCATGAAGGCTGAAGGCCTGGTGGTTCATGGTCTATGGCCGGCAGGGTGGTGACTTGGTTAAGTACGGTAGAGCCTGTTCTGGGCCTGGCAAAGCAGGTGTCTCAGGGACTGGGAACAAGTGTAAGATTCAGGTCTTCAGCCTGAGCCCCTCAGGATAGAAACCCCATTTTCTTCCTTTGCTGGTGTGTAGTATCTATTAATCAACACGGTAGCTGGTGAGGTTTACACCATTAGTCAGTGCAAAAGGCCTGTCCTTGCAATGGACTCAGTCCGGGTCACCTTCTATTTTCTTCCTTCTGTCTTCAGCCCATGTTTTTCTAAAGCATATTGTATGAGCCCCCTTTTTATGTTCTCTTGTAAATCCCGTGGCTAGGTATGTTTGCTAGGGCATCTATCTTTCTAGTGCATGAGTTAATTAAGAATAAAGGCCCTAGGGTCCTGTAAGAACCAGCTTCCCTGGGCATGGTGGGAATAAGGGGAAGCCTGTGTTTGAATTTGCCCTGCTAATGGTGAATGTCTGCATTCCTTGGCTGGGGAGTCACAGATTTGGGGAGATTAAAACACATTCCAGCCTTCCCCTGGAATTATAAACAATGAGAACGTGTCTTTTCTTGCCGGAAGAATCTCGAGAAGCAGAAGATGGCAGGCCTGGACCCACAGAGGAGGCCACTTATGCTGGCAGCGCTGAATGGGCTCTCGGTGGCCCGCGTCCCGGGGCGGGAAGACAGTCGACACGATGCCACCCGAGTCCCCATAGACGAGAGGGTGAGTGCTGGGCATGTCGGGTGTGACTCCTCTGTGCCTTCAGATTCCAGAAGTCCCCCTTTGCCCAGACCCGTCAGTGAGACGGCGTGGTCCAAGTGTGCTGTGTGAAAGCCAACCCTTTTCAACACCTCCTCTTTCCTCACTCCGGTCTCCACACTTATCAAGTTAGTGTATTGATGCTTTATTAAAAAGTCTAGCCCCAGGGCTGGTGAGGTGGCTCAGTGGGCGTAGAAGCTTGCTGCCAAGTCTGACGACCTGAGTTCAATCCCTGGGACTCACATTGCGCAAAGAGAGAACTGACTTTCTCAAGGTTTGCTCTGACCTCTACACAGCTTGCTCCCCTCCCCAAAATAAACAATGAAACAAAAGACCAACCTCTAACATGCTGTGTGTCCTTGACCTACTCACTTAGTTCTTTACTTTTTAATCGTAAGTGGGGAATATAATTAGAGTTGTTTATCTATTTTTATATGATTTTAGGACTTAAGGGAAAATGCAAATTTGCATTCTGATGTGATTGACATCCTTGTTTTCCTCACACAATTGAATCTAAAGATGCACTAATTTGAAACACGCTGAGGAATGGTGGGGGGAAATATTAAAATTTTCATTTCCTGCAATGGAACCATTGTTTCTCTACGTGTGGAGAACTCTTTTTTTTTAAGATGATTTATTTTAATTTTTCCAACCGTCACGTTCAGTGACTTTTGTCAATGGTTGCTGTTTCCTAGGAAACAGTCATCCAGGGTTTTAGTGTCCCTGTGGTTCCCTCAAAGGCTGTAAGGTGAAGCTGCCAGGCTGGCTATCGGAAGCTCTGGAAACTGGTTTCCTAAAGTCACTGACTAACATGTTAGGGTGTAGATTTCTGTCTGCAGACACTCGGGATTAGAATGTTTTCTGGGTCAGAAGGGACATTGCCCCAAAGAATACCATGTAATTGAAATTAGTAATTCGACCAAGGAAGGAGTCAGGCAAATTATGCTATGCGTGCAGTTTGCTCTTCGGCGCTCTGCCACTGACTGATTCGTTCAGTAAAAACTGCTCTGAGGGTAAAGGATGCTTCACAGTTAAGACTGACGCTGCCCCTGTCAGCAAAGATCGTAGGCGGCACAAGTAAGAGGAACGCGGAGTTTGGATTCAATGGAAGCCAGTCTTTGCAGACTGCAGTTATGGCTGGGTGAGAAGGGAGACGGTGGTCAGGGCAGAGAGACTAGCGGTGTGGGGCTAGTGCGTGAGGGCGGTAGCTAAGTGCGAGTGCCGAGAACCCGGTTGCTCTGTTGGAGCTAGGGGAGCTGACGCCCACTTCTCTTGCAGCTCCGAGCCCTGAAGAAGAAGCTGGAAGAGGGAATGGTGTTCACCGAGTATGAGCAGATCCCACACAAAAAGGCCAATGGCATCTTCAGCACTGCCACTCTGCCAGAAAATGCTGAGCGTAGCCGGATCCGAGAAGTCGTCCCCTACGAGGAGAACCGGGTGGAGCTCATCCCGACCAAAGAGAACAACACGGGCTACATCAACGCCTCCCACATCAAGGTGAGGGGTGTCAGAGGCATCCAGCAGGGTGTTCCTGCAGGCTGCCCTCACCCTTGCGGAGGTGCACTAACCCTCCCTACGCCACGGCAAGCGGGACTGTTCAGTTGATTTGTGACTCACAGGGGGTGGTCATGGAAACTCATATCTCTCATTGGCAGTGCTTCTTATTCTGTCCAAGAGCAGCAAAACTATTGTTTCTTCCTTATATTACCATAGACAATTCACTTCAGAGTCAACCCTAATTTTTAGTGCTCTTTATGAGAGTGGGGTAGTTTGTACACAAACCGCAATTGATGGCAGCAGGTCCTCAGCCAATGAATGGGGTGTGCAGGTGTGAAGTCCCCCACCAGATTCATTTGTTTTTAGTTTATGGGTCTGTTTGCCTGCATGTATGTATGTACACCGTGTGTGTCTGATGGCTGTAGAGGTGGGCAGAGAGCATCGGCTTCTTTGGAAATGGCATTACAAGGGGTTGTGGGCCTCCATGTGGATGCTAGGAACTGAGAAATCGGGTTCTCAGCAAGAGCAACAAGTGTTCTTTAACCTCTCAGCCATCTCTCCAGCCCACAGTGTATAAGATTTCGGTTCATATCTCAAATATTTCATGTCTCAGTATGTCATAGCCTACCTAGACCCCAGTTAGAATTCAGAGCTGTAAACACATGGGAACCTAGAGTGAGTGATTTCCTAAGCAGCTTGTCCTCCCCAGTTTTCCTCCTACCTGGATGTGCTTCCTTAGACCCTGGCTCTGAACTCAGGAATGGGAGAGTTTCAGAGGCTCCTGCTTAGTCGTTGGCTACAGGAAGATTTTACGCAACACGGTTCATGTGAATGATCTATGTGATCAGTAGCTTTGAACTCTTATGACTTTTCAACTTCGGTGGAATTGCTAGAAGGTTGCTTTGACCCCCTACCCCCACCCAAGATGCAGTTAAGCATCCGGTTTGTGTGTCACTCACAGCCAGTTTTCATGTGGGACATGAAAAGTGTGGCATGATTGGGCTTGATGTTTTTATGCATAAGACAGAGATAGAACTATGCATATACGTTTCTAGCATACAGACTTTTTGATTTTTGAGAGCAAGAACAAAACCAATAAAATAATGAATGCCAGGGGACTCTCAAGTAAACCAAAGATGAGGACGACTCAGCGGCCTCCCGATGAAGCTCCTCTGAATTCTGTACAGAGGGATCTTCTCCTGGCCTCTTCCCTTGGCCCAATCTCTTTCCCCATTTTCCATTTGCTCTTTGGAAGCAGCTGCAACTCCCCGTAAGCAGTACCCTTTGGGCATTGTTACCCAAGATGCCTTCCCTTCCGCGGTATTCTCTGAGGCCCACATTTCATATTACAGATCCAGGGTAGGCGGCGGAGCATCTCACAGGCCCAGAGAACTTGCTGGAACTCGCCCTTGGCTTCTGGAACCGAGCTGTGTGCTTCGCCACTGTTTTCTCCCCTGGGTTCCAAGCCGCCGTTAATGCGGAAGGAGACTTTGTTCCTCCAGGGGTGGGGTTAACATCTGTGACTCTCCCGCTTCTGTACTGATGGTTTTTTACGGGTTTTACTGCTCTCCTCTTAGTACTGGAGGAGGCGGCGTTCTCTGCGGGTAGTTATGGTCCCCACACGTTAGGTGCCAGGACGGATAGTGTTTAAGATCCCGGTTCCACAGACACGCCCCCCCCCCACACTCGTGAGTCTGTGAATGTTTTCTCCCAGCAGTATGTGGAAAGTGGGTTTTCTTGCCCACCTTGACCTGAACATGTCTGTGTGATAAGACGAGAGCTGATGTTATTTTTGTCAGAATCAAGTTAGTATGTAGTTTCATAAAATAAATGAGGAGAAACGTCCCCAACAGTGATGCCCCATTGCTTCTGGAAACCCCTGGAGGTCTGCATTGCATGGATGGGTAAAGGGGCTTGTCTCTGTTCTGTCAAGGCACAGGTAAGGAAGAGACAAACCAGAGATGTTCATGCAGAGGTCGCCATTTCACCTTGAGAGTGCGACCTTCAGTTCCCTAGGTCTGTTTTGGCCAGTGGGAAGTTTTTGCATGATAGACTATGCTTTTATTTAAAGTCTATCAGAGAGCCCTGTTCCTCATTGTACAGAATTACAGCCCTTTGGTGACTGTGGAACTAATTTAATGGTTGTAATCATGCATATACTTTAAAAAATTTAGACTAAAGAATAGAATTTGTAAGAATGCATCGTATACACTAAGCATAGATGTTGTTTTTATAACATAAATTCTGTTCATTTATGCTTAGGTGTGTGCATATACTCTTGTGTACATTTATGTGACTGCATGTATACATTTTTTATATGTGGTATATATGTGTGTGCACGTGTATTGTGCACTCCCCCATGTATGCATAAATGAAGGCCAAAGGTGAACATCATTTATCTTCTGCATCTGATGCGGGAGAATTATCTGTATTCTGTTAATCATATTTTAATAAAACACTGATTGGCCAGGCAGGCAGTATAGGCGGGAAAGCCAGACAGGAAGTAGGGGTGGAGCAAAGAGACTGGGAGTATTCTGGAAGCAGAAGCTCTCTCAGCCACTCCTGCGCAGACCACTGAAGAGGCAGCATGTAACTTGCCCAGCTGAGAAAGGTATGGAGCCATGTGCTAACGTAGATAAGGATAATGGGGTAACAAAAGTTATAAGAGCTAATAAGTAGCCTGACCTAATGAGCCAATCAGTTTATAATCTTATGGAGTCTTGTGTGTGATTTTCTTTGTTGCTTGCCGGCTGTTGGGGTACTGGGAGGGACAGATACCCCAACAAGCCAGCCCCTCATGTTACATGCATCACTCTTAAGCTCATTATTACATTTTATTTTGTGTGTCTGTGTCTTTTTATTTACTTATTTATTATGTATACAATATTCTGTCTGTGTGTATGTCTGCAGGCACCAGACGTCATTACAGATGGTTGTGAGCCACCATGTGGTTGCTGGGAATTGAACTCAGGACCTTTGGAAGAGCAGGCAATGCTCTTAACCACTGAGCCATCTCTCCAGCCTTGTCTGTCTTTCTGTGTCTGTGTGTCTGGTGTGTGTGTGTGTGTGTGTGTGTGTGTGTGTGTGTGTGTGTGTACGTCAGAGGACAACTGGCAGGAGGTGGTTTTCTCCTTCCATGACGTGGATCCTGGGGGTCATGCTTAGGGCACCAGAGTTAACGTCAGGCACCTTCACACCGACCGTCTCACCCAGCCCCTCCACCTTATTTTTGAGGCAGGTCTTTGACTGAGTCTGGACTCGCTGTGTCCACAAGTGTAGCCCGTGAGCCCCAGGGACCCTTGCTCTTTTACCTCCCAGCCATGGGATAACAGGCACACACCAACTAGCATATATGTGGATGCTGGGGATCTTTACTCAGGTCCTCACGCTTGTGCAGAAGGCACTTTGCCTTCAGAGCATCTCCTCAGCCCACATGTGCACTTTTAGTCCGTTCTAGTTTGCAGGTACTGCCTGTTGTGTGCGAAAAAAGATCAGGAAAATCTGACTTGCTAGGTTTGCTTTAGCCAGAAGTGTGTCATCTACTGTGTATGGCTTCTGGGTTTTTAGGATCGCACCAGTCCAGTTGGTCCAGAAGAATTAGAATCGAGCGTGGTTCCACCAGCCCGGCTTACTTGTCCTTCCCTTGCCTTGCAGGTGGTGGTTGGTGGGGCAGAATGGCACTATATTGCCACTCAGGGACCCCTGCCACATACCTGCCATGACTTCTGGCAGATGGTGTGGGAGCAGGGGGTGAACGTGATCGCCATGGTCACGGCAGAGGAGGTAAGAGTGGCTTGCTGAACATCCTTGTCCTGGGGAAGGGGTGGCCAGAAGGTGGGCCTGGTACCTATGACTTTGGCTTGCCCCACATTGTGTGTCTGCAGATTCATTTTCCACTGGCGTGCCCCCTCCTCTTAGTCTGTATGTGCCTCCTTCCCCAGCGATGGCTGACAGTGGACTCTTTCTCTTCTCATTTTCCTTTGGCTCCTAACTCTTTTCTTTGTGACCGTACTTCACTACAACGGAAACCAAACACAGAATCAAAACGACCAAACTTGAGTTCATCCAGCGGGCGGCTTGTACCCCACAGAACGGTTCAGGCTGTGCTGGGTAAACACACGGGGCCTCTCAACCCTGGCGCTGCCAGCCCTGCATGCCACGGTGCTTATCAGTCGAAAGGAGACCAGAGTCACCGCTGGAGGAAAGGGCTGTATTCTTCAGGGAGCAGGAAAAGAAAATGCCTTTTCTTCCTTTGCCAAGGCAAACACAGGTTCTCTGTTGTAGCTGAGGAGCCATGCTGCACGGACTGGCAGGCTCTCCCCCGCGTGATGCCGCCTGCTCGGAGTGTGCTGACCCTGGGGAAAGAGTGTTGGATTTCCTCTCTGTCACACTCTCAAAACATTTTGCCCCATCCCCTTTAATCCTCTTATGAGATTCCAAGTTATATTTTCAAATTCATTTAGGGAACTAGCTTCATGCATTTGACCAAGACCCTTGGTATCACACGGCCCCATTCCCACCTGTTATCCAGGACCGGGAGCAGAGACCTGAGACACAAAATCAGTCATGGCTCTCCACCATCACCACCAGTGGGCACTTGCTTTCTAGGGCGGTTTATGGAGAAATTTGGTGAGGCCACGTTGTGTTCTCAAAGGTCAAATGCACTTCCGCACACTCTGTCTGACCTTCCACTAAGAAAGGTCTCACTAGGGCTCACATCTCACTAGGGCTGGTGAGATGGCTCACCACCGGTAAAGAGCCTGCATTTGGATATGCAGCACTCACATGTAATCCCAGTACTGGGGAGGTGAAGGCAGGAGGATCCCTGGCTGAACACTCAGTGTTGACCTTTGGCCTCCACAGGCACACATGCCCAGACCCACATGAATACATACCACATATATACACATATACACAAACACCCAGAAAGTAAAGTTTCAAAACTCATGACACCATTAAACTAAATTAAGGATCCTAATAGATCATGTCGTGGGAAGTTACTGTTATTTTATTAACCTCTGCTTACTTATTTTGTCTCTTTGACATGGTCTTATCATAGCCCAGGCTGGCCTTGAACTCATCCGTCTAACTCCGTCCATCTGTGTAGACTGTAGGGGGGATGGTGGATGCGGCAGGCACTGCCCTTGTCCCCACGGTGTTTACCTCCAGCGGTGGACACTGAAAAGTGAACCGGTAGCGCACACGGGGGCAGGCCACTGTGGCTCTGCAGAGGAGCCCGTGTTCCAGCCAAGGCGTGGGTGACAAGCAGATCTGCCATGTCTAAACAAAGCAGAATCTAGTGATCCGTGGGATGGTCAGGAATGGATCATTTTGTAAGATCCAGAACTGACTCGGGCACTGAGCCAAGTGTGAGTTTGAGGCCTCACATTAACCCACCTTTGCAGGATTGGTATATAAAAGAACAAAGTGCTTCAGACCTAGGGAGGAGACTCAGTCCAACCCTCTGGGACCAGGCAGGATGACTAGTGCCCCCCTAAGGGACACCAAGCAGGCCAACTGATAGTTCCTTTACTTAGTTAATTTTTTAGTGATCGGCCTTGAGACAGGGTCTCACATAGCCCAGGCTGGCCTCAAACTTGCTGTGTAGCCAAGGCTAACCTTGACCTTTTGACCCTCCTGTCTCCTCCTCCCTGCCACACCTGGTTCGTGTCCTACTGTGGTCTGGACCGGAACTTCATGCGTGTTGTCTCTGCATTCTGACCACTGAGCACATCCCAATCTGCCCTCGTGTGTCCCGCCACAGCTCCCTGCTCCTTGTGTCTTCTTCCTGCCTCCCAGCCTCTGCCTTCTATCTGCCCTTCAGCCACCAGCCCCTCCATGCTTCCCACCCTCACCAGTGATTGCTGACCTGCACGAAACCGGAAACCAAGACGTTGTAGATGGTGCACGGTCTCAGGACAGATGACAAAATCTGGGAAGAAGGAATGGCACACACATTTGTCTGTTCTCTGCCTTGGCTGTATGTTGAGCTGGAACAAGCCAGCCAGGCTGAACAAAAAGTGAGAACAGCCCGGGAAGAAAGTGGCAGCGTCAGCCAGTGGCTGGTGCCCTATAGAGAGCCCCGGGTTAGCATCAACGTGAGAAGCAGGGTGTGGGCCGGCCACCAGGATCTGCTGCTTACCAGCCGGAAGCCTTCAGTGGCTTTCTGTTCTCCGTGGGCTCCCTGTAGGCACTACACAGCTCTGGGGAGATGTGATTTAGAAACTGCCGCCTGCTCTCCTGTTCTGGGACCCTAAGGCCAGGAGCAGAGTTCATCCTTGTTTTCATTCGTGCTTTTCTGTGTGATTCAGGAGGGCGGACGGACCAAAAGTCATCGATACTGGCCCAAATTGGGGTCCAAGCACAGCTCAGCCACCTATGGCAAGTTCAAGGTCACCACGAAGTTCCGCACAGACTCTGGTTGCTATGCAACCACAGGGTTAAAGGTCAAGCACCTGCTGTCTGGCCAGGAGAGGACGGTGTGGCACTTGCAGTACACTGACTGGCCCCACCACGGCTGCCCAGAAGACGTCCAAGGATTCCTGTGTAAGTTTTTCCCAGACTGGGTTTGCTGAATGCATGTGTCAGTAGTCAGTCAGATGGAGAGGAGAAGCCGGGGACCACGGTAATACCAAAGAACTCACCTCCCCACCTCTGATAGATGCCTCTTGTGTTCTCTTAACCTTTTATGCACATCCACAAGACCATGATAAGCTAATTCAGCATTGACTTAGACTTTTAGTGTCTCAGCAGTCGTTACCATCTAACACGTGCTATGACATGGGTAAACCCTGGCAGCACACCAAGTCAAAGGTGGCAGACACAAAGGGGTCAGAACCGTAGGATTCTGCCCTGCATTGAGCACTTGCATCAGGCAAATCTATTACATGATTTCCTGTCTTTCCAGGGCACGGATATTCTAGGTACTGATTCATGAGAATATTGTTTTATTCTTGATGTGTTTAGAATTGGCATTAGGGGCTGAGATGCAAGAACAGACAGACTAAGTTGTCAAGACCTAGAAAACCACTTCACCGGTTCTGTTGGATTCTATGATGTGTTGACAGAGGATGACCTTTGCCGCCGAAATGGGGCCAGGTCTCAATGGGCACAGTGAACACAAAACGCAGGACAGTAGTGAGCTGAGGACCCAGAGTCCCAGAGAGGTTAGGGTTAGCCTGACGTCTAACACAGGAGGGGTGTGACCGCTCCATCACTCCTAACAGCTCTTTTTATCCAGTTCGGGGAATCTTCTGCTAGTGGCCTGGTTAAAGTTGTCTCCAAGAAGAAAACCCTGGAAACAATGCAAGTAGATGATTGACGGCTCTACTGAAGTGTGGGACCCGTGAGATGGTCTAAAGTGTAGTCGAATCTTTAAAACCAGCCTGTTTAAGGAATGCCAGTCTAAGCTACCGAAGGGTACAGGGCCTCCCTTCAGGGAACATGAGTTGCCTGAACATGAGCTGTTTATGCGAGGCTCTTGATGCAGTGGGGTTGTATAGCGCAGTGGAAACACTGGCTGTTGGATTGTCTGAGGATCCTGCTTTCTCCTTTGTACCCACTGGGGCTGTGAGCAAACCTTTGAACATCCCTGCTGGCCTGGGCAACTGCTGAAGGGACGAGAGCTGTTCTCGAACCCTCCACCCACAGGCTCGTTGCCTCCGGAAGTGGGGCTCATCTTGAATGTTCACATAACCTGTTGGAAGTGGATTCCCAAAGCCCGTTTTTGTTTGTTTTTTTTTTTTTACATCTGACAGTGAAATCAAGCCTTGGTTGACATTCACTGCTTTGATGAGGGGCGGGTGGGGTGGGGAGGTAGGGGAGGAGATGGGGCAGGCGCAGGTGGCTGCTCTTTGCCCGACAGGAATAGGCTCTGACTGGCAGGCATTTCTAGGGGACTTAGCGGCTGCTTCTGATCCCAGTCTGTTAATAGTATGAAGTGCGGTGAGTAATGTCTAGAATCATCTGCTTGGGGGACTTGGGGATGTGCAGAAGGGAAAACAGAATTTAATTTTTAAAAAAGAACTATTTAAAGAACAAATTCTCCAGTGGACTAATTGACTCCCAGCTGGTCTCTTCTGGATCCAGGAGGTTACAGCAGGTACCAGCCAAATGATTAATGTCTTATAAGAATTGCAAATTATTATGATGGCAAACAAAAGATTTACCCTCATTCCTGGTGCCTCTCCCCCGCTCTCCCCGGGTAAAGTTATGTGACACACGTGGGTGACAAGACTCACATTGTGTCCCGCAGCCTACTTGGAGGAGATCCAGTCAGTCAGGCGTCACACCAACAGTGTGCTGGAAGGCATCAAGACCAGGCACCCACCCATCGTGGTCCACTGCAGTGCAGGGGTGGGGAGGACCGGCGTCGTCATCCTTTCTGAGCTCATGATCTACTGCCTGGAGCATAATGAGGTGAGTTGTCCGTTCTCTCCACCACCACCCCCGTGTGTGTGTATGTGTGAATTGTATCTAGTTATTTTATGGGAGGGACCCGTGTGCGTTTGTGTGTAGCCAGAGTTCAACCTCAGTGGTCGTTCCTTCAGGCACCATCACCCTGAGTTTTGAGTCAGGATCACTTGTCGGCCTGGAGCTTACGGAGCAGGGTGGGCTGGCCGGCCAGTGAGCCCCAGGGGCCCTCCTGTCTCCACCTCCCTGGCACTGGGATTAGTGCGTAGCATCCTGCACAGTTGTTATTGTTTACATGGTTTGGGGGGGAATTAAAGTCTGGTCCTCTAAGCAGTTTATCCACTGGGCCATGCATGGTCCCAACCTTGCCTTCCGAGTGCTTGCTATACCTTGGTCCCAGCTCTGCACGAGATCCGCTCTCCCCTGTTTGGGGGTTGATTCCTCTCCGCTGCCCTGACCAGACCCGTGGCTCTCTAGCTGGACTCCACCTTCCTTGTCCTGATCTCACTGCTCCGTGTAGGCTCCCAACTAGGAGGAGAAAGTTAGAACACAGCTGCTATTCTTTACAGCGGGTTTTATTTGGGGGCGTTTGCCCTCGCCTGGCCCGGCAGTGTGTTGTGTAGCACAGAGGGTGGGGATGCGGGCACCAGCACCAGCTGCTCTTTGCCATCACAGGGTATGTGTTATCCCACAGGGCCATAAGATCCTGGAGTTATACTGAGAGACTTTATTCACAAAAGCTGTGCTTAGGGTTGAGGGCAGTGGTTTAGATTCTGCTAGTCTCTGTGTGTGTTTGTTTGTGCGAGTTCTGGGCATCTAACCTGGGACTTGGCACGCATTAGACAAGTGCTCTACCACTGAGCTATGCACCAAGCATGTTGTGGGTGTTTGTCTGTGCTTTTTAGTCGGGTGTTGTTAAGTAACCACCACACTAGGCCCCCAGCCCTAGCTGGGAGGTTAACAAAGGGGCACCGTCCCCTCTGCTTCGTGAAAAGCCAGGCACAGGTGAGGAAATCCAGGCGCAGAAGCAGTCATGTGATATACTTGGGGCTGGGTGTCTCTAAGCAGCCATTTGAGGGCAGGAAGCAAGGGCTCTTTCTCTGAGGTCACTTCCTGTCTTCTCACTGTTTCCACCAAGCTGTTGGTCCGTTCAGTTTCCAAATTATACAGCAAGGAACTCTTGTTCCGTGTGACGGATGCACCAGTGTGCTAATGCTGTCCTAATAGACTCACAGATCTGAGACTAGCTTCAGTGCCGCCCTGTCTTGTTGGCTGTGAAAGGCTGGTCTCTGAGCTCTTTGGAGACCAATTAGCGACGTCGGTGAAGCAGTAACTGGAGCTCACGTTGCTCATCATGGCACTGCATGCGTCAACACCAGGCTGGTGTGGAATGGGTGTGGAATGGGGGATCCGGCCGACAGGGCATCTCATGGGCTCCCTGCAGCTCAGAGTGGCTCCCTTCCTTGTGGTGTGTCCAAACACAGTGGACTTCCTCGGTGCCAGCCGCATGCCAGGACATTCCTGGCTGGTGTGTGGCCGTCCTAAAGGACTTCTGCTCACATTGATAGTCAGAGATAACGAGATGACTCATGCCGTGGGTTTCCTCTCCCCAGTCTTATCTGTCCCGTTTCCCATGGTTGCTGTTGACCGAGGAAAACTGTCCGCTCTGCCCTGTGTTCTTGAGGCCCTGCTCCTCCCGCTCTTGTCCCTGCATCAGGAGATGGGCAAACATGTTTGTACTTTAAACAAAGACGTTTGACAAATAAATATAAAATTGCTATGACCTATTTTTCTCCCACTCCAAAGTAACCTCCTTTTCTAACAGCTGGGGTTGCCCGTGTGTTGTAAATTGAGCAGTTTTCATTTTGTCAATGAGCTGGCTTTTCCTTTCCCTACGTTTCCCCCCACCCCCATCTCATTTTTAAGCAATGATTGGTTTTAACTTTGTGAGCCTGGAAGAGCAGCAGGTGCCCTCACCTCCTGAGCCATCTCTCTAGCCCTGTCGTCTCATGCAGAATACAGAGGGTTTGAACTTGGGTAGTGGGGAGGGGATGGTGGTTGTGGGGGTGATGGTGGGGATGGTGGTGGTGGTGGGGATGGTGGTGGGGATGGGGATGGTGGTGGGGATGGTGATAGTGGAGATGGTGGTGGGGGTATGGTAGTAGGGTGATGATGGAGTGATGGGGGGGTAATAAGGGTGGAATAGTCCATGAGAGATGTGGAAGTGGCAGTGGGGAAGAGCAGGGCGAGGGAAAGGTGGCAGAGTTGGAGGTGGTTACAATAAGGGCTGAGGAGATGGCTCAGCGGCCATGAGCACTCACTTGTGAAGCAGAGCCCCAGCATCCATGAAAAGCTGGGTGTGGACAAGCACTGTGATCTGGGGAAGACACGAGACATACATGACACTGATGACAACACCAGATGGAGCAACAGGACACTATACTGCTAAGGCTCCAGGCTAGCCAGCCTAGCGGTGGTGCATGCCTCTAATTCCAGCACTCTGGAAGCGGAGGCAGATGAACTTCTGAGTTCAAAGCCAGCCTGGTCACAGAGCAAGTTCCAAGACGGCCGAGGCTACACAAAGAAACTCTGTCTTATAAAACAGACAGACAGACAGACAGACAGGCAGACAGACAGAAAGAAAGAAAGAAAAGGCAAGCTGGCACGCTTCAGTTCAAGAAGAGACTGCCTCGATTGAATAAAGCATTCATGTCCACCTGTGAATGTGCATACCCATACACTTACAGTGTGCACACACGTGCACGTGCCCCATATGAAAGGGATATCTGGGCCAACAACATGGTCCAGTGGGTAAAGGCACTTCCACCAAACTTCATAACCTGAGCCCAATCCCCAGAACACACGCAAATACATGTAAAAGAACAGGAGGAGGAGGAAGAGGAGGAGGAGGAGAAAATAGTTAACTTGGGGAGGTTGAGGCAGGAGGATCATCATGTGTTTGAAGCCAGCCTAGACTACAGAATGAGCTTCCCAAAATTTATCTCAACCTAAATATAAAGGGAAGGGATTGTGGGGGAGTAGTGTTTGGCCTTTGCCACTCCTCACTACTCCGAGAGCCTTGCAGCGTTCAAGTTCGACAGTGCTCAGATCACTTACAGGAATAAGCTTAAACAAACACAAATTGAATGATACCCACCAGTGACCAGGTTCTCCCACCCTGGCATAGAGCCCATTCCTACGGCCTTGAAGGGGCAGGTTCCTTCCTGGTCCTGGGCAGTGGGCAGAGGCTTCCCAAGGTGGGAGGAGCCCTAGAGAGGCCTCCTGTCTCAGGCTGTGTGCCCTTTCTTTTCCCTTGCAGAAGGTGGACGTGCCCACGATGCTGAGGTTTCTCAGGGAGCAGAGGATGTTCATGATCCAGACCATCGCGCAGTACAAGTTCGTCTACCAAGTCCTCGTCCAGTTCCTGCAGAACTCCAGGCTCATTTGAGTTCCCAGCTGCAGCTTCTGGAGGAGGGAGCCAACTCCATCCTGCAGGGGGCGCCACTTCTGGACAACATCTGCCTCCTCAGTTGGAGGCGGATGGCTGGCATCAGGCAAGAACCAGAGTTACTTACAAACATCATGTATTATTTTATATGAGATAATTTATTTTTCCGTCTTTGGAATAAGTTTTGTTGAGTTATTATAATGCATTTTTTTTCACAATAATATAGTGCTTCTCATTTGAACCACATGTTGACTGATCTGCATATAAGCCCCTGGGAGGGAAGGTGGTGGCCCCATGAGACATTGTAGGCACAGAGGCATAAGGGAACACATCCCTAGTGAAGGTGCAGACAAATTAGTAATGCCCCCAGTCAAAAGTGGCAAGAGAAAGAATTCACTCCCAACTGGAAGGAAGAGAGCCAAGGAAGGCCCTTGCAAGTGTCCCCTTAAACACTGGATCCATGCGGCTGGCTGGATAGCTGCTTCCCGCTGCTCCTTTGCTGCCCTCACCCCCATGATCTCTCGGTCCCTAAGCCTGGGGTGAAAGGTGGACTCCGCTGGAGAGCACAGGGCCTCTAAGGCTGGCCATGCGGTCTTTGTTGCTGGTTCTGCTGCTCGCTCAGCCCTTGCTCTGGTCCAGAACTCTGCTGCAGTGATGGGGCCCATCTTGCATGCTCCCAACACCCTCATCTGGTGGCCCTGGGCCAGGCCATCTGCACGGCTCAGCCCTTTGCCTGATTGAGAGAAGATAATAGACCAGGGTGGGAATGGCATCAGGTGGGGCCTTGGTGTGGATTCTTAACTAAATAATGCTGAGTGTGGCAGATGGGGACTTGAGAGGGTGAGATTTGGATCTATTCCATTTTCCTATCCATGGCTAAGTTGTTAGAAGGCTCTTAATGGCTAAGGAAACTCACATGCAGCAGCCGCTTGGCACTTGGCAGCAGGGCCCTGGCCAGGAGGCACACACCTGACAGGCATGCACCCTTGCCCACCTCACTGCATGCCGCTTGATTCTAGGCTCTGGCTAACAAGGACAGAGTTGAATCCACCTAGGGCTTCTTTGTTGATGTCTTGAGGCCCAGTCCCAGGCTGACCTTGGACTTGGTGTGTAGCAAGAGGGTGGCTCCCAATCTCCCATCTGTACTTCCCACTGCTGGAATTTCGGGTGCGTACCACCACACACAGGCCATCCTCGCCCCTCATGATAAATGCTGAGACTGTCTTTTGTAAAATCCTCCACCGCCCACCTTTCCTTGCATAGCCCAGTCTCTGGTCAGCGATGTTATCAGCTACCCTCACACTGAAGCCCAGTTTCCTTCCGTGTCTTTTCTGAGTATAATTTTCTAATTGTGAGTTTGTGGAACTGACCGTGTCATGTCTTCCTCCAGAGTTACATTTTCCTTTTTTTTTCGCCCCCCTCCCCCTGAGCTGAAAAGACCAAACAGAAAGAGTGTGCCTTTGTGGCTTCTATCCACCCTACCCCCTACCCCTGCCCCGCACACTTGTAGATGCCTATGACAGCAGATTTCCCTGAGCATCTCTGGAAGATGAGCCATGCTGCCTTCCCTCTGAGCCAGTGTGGTGCTGATGCTGGTATTCCTGCAGCATCAGTGAGTTCAGAATCTGAAGGTGGGGCACTTCCGCCTTCCCTTCCACGGTGCAGAATGAATCGAGGGGCATAAGTGATCATGGCCCTAGTAGACCTGGCACACTGACAGAGGTATTTGGGGGAAAATGGAAAAGCCCATGGTGGGGAGCTGTTTAATTTCCTTTTAAGACAGTTCCCTCTTTTAGGTGTCCTAACAGTCTGTCCCACTAACAGTTTCATTCTGGGATGAAGAATGTTGATATTCACCAGCCGTCTCTAAGCCTTGTGTTAGAATGTCTCACATGAGCAGCGAGGAGAAATGATGCCCCTCTGAACTCATCACTGGGGCTGTATCTGTCTTATGCTGACAGAACAAGGGACAGGGAGGACGTAGTTTTCATACGCAGCTTCCTAGCCAACGTGCTATGAAACCCCAAGGACAACATCTAAGTGTCCTGAGCTGTATTTCCTCCTTAAACACTGTTGCCTCTGGTTCTTCAGCACCTTCTGGATTCCCTCTCCCACCCCAGGAAGCCCCCATAGATCTCTGGTTAAATCAGCAGCAGGCATTTCAAGTCCTCTCAGTGGCATCTGCATAACAATCGCTGAGAGCCTGCTCCACCTGGGAAGCCAGCCAAGGCAAAAGCCTAGAAGCTAAGTGTATTAAATTAGTTATCTAGTCAGGGTTTTGGACCGGTTTCCTGACAGTGTGTTGGGACTGAAGCTGGAGCTGTCAGAGCCCATGGCTGCAGTTTGGATTTGAAGGGGGAGAAAATTAAAACGGGAGCCAGTAAGACAGCCCATCTCACAACAGAGCAGTGGGCCATTCCTCCACCGCTGGTTTGAGGTTTTCACATTGCGTGGTTCTGTCCTTTGCTTGCGCTCATTTGCATATGCCCACCTTTGTCCTTGTTCAGGGTCTCCGCATCCTGCCTGAGATGCTCTGTGGCGAAGCCCAGGAGTGACTGGCTGGTCTAGTGGGGCTCTAAGGTGGTTCCCGGTGGAGTAGGGCCCCAGGGACTGCACATCTGAATGCGCTCCCTCCCCGGGGTAGAGGTGAGAACAGGGTTAGGCGCATGCTGGTTGCTTTACTGAGGTGAAGACAGTGGGTCCCTCTACTCACTTGGAGGGGCTGCAGATTTTAGGGAGGGCAAGGGCATCTCACGTGGACTGTGTCAAGCAAGCTTTGGTTTTAATGCGCTTACTTTAGGAGGCTTTTCTGTTATGAGAAAGGGCCTACTCATTATTCTTCAGTTAGAAGTAAACTGCCTGCCTCCCTCCCTCCGCCCCTCCTTCCCTCCCTCCTTCTCTGTCCCTCCCTCCTTCCTTCTTTTGCCTATGTCTTGGGCTCTCTCTCAACCATCTCCACTAACCTGGACAGAGGGTCTTTGTGGGACACAGCCACCAACTCCTAAGCAAGCCACACCCTTGCCCACTGTCAGCTTCTGCTCTCAGCTACCACCCCATGTGCAGAGGAGGTCAGCATTTTCCTGTTTTGTTTTTTTTTTTCTAGTTTAATGTAGATTGACCCGCGCTGAGTTTCCAGAAATGGAGGACACTTACTGGACTGACTGAATCTCTGCCATTTGTTTCTTCCCAGCTCATTAAAGGTCTAATACCATGTGGCTTTTCTTCAGCTAAGAGCTAGTGGACACGGGACTGGTTCTTTGTGATGCGTGGTGGCCTTGCATCTCCTAGGGCTGGGAGCTGCCCCAGCATGCCACACGGCCGGCCACGTGACAGGCTGCTGTGGGGTCTTCAATCGCTTTCTTGAAGCACCAGCTTATCACTCTGTATCCTCTGACCTCAGGCCCGACTTTATCAACGGGTCCCAAACATGTCCTCAGGCAGAGAGCACCCTGTGTCTTCCAGTCTGCCTCGTGTTTCTAGTGGCATGGCTAACGGAGAGGGCAAATTTAGTTATTGATTTCTGTTGTGGGAAGATGTGCCAATTACCTGAGGTGAGAGGGCAAGAATACCGGAAAGTTTAGGATAAACTCAAGGGATATGGTTAGCCCTGGCCCCTGTTGGCGATCATTTCCTGTTCCTTCTCAGCATTAGGAGCAGCTCTGTCCACAGAGTGCCAAGTCTCTGCCTTTGGGCTCTCAGCTTCCCGGTTCTCCAGTCAGCTGCCTTGAGGCTCTCACTGAGTGTCTTCTCTTCACGAGTGGTGCAGTCAGCTTCTAACAGAGAGACCTGGGTCTTCCACGGGAACTGCGTACTCCCTGGTGGCCTACAACTTGATGAGTGTGACAGACTCGCTGTCTTTGGAGGGTAGAATAAGTCACAGTTAGCCATGTTGGATTATCCTCTGAGCGAAGCGGTAGAATGGTGCTGGCCTTCACCTCAGCTCCTGAGTCCTTGGGCAGCAAGCCACCTTTCATGATACATCTGTGGAACATAGCATCCACACGTCTGGGGAAATGGGCGGGTATGTGCAACCGCAAGCTGCCAACCCAAATGGCTTGTCCAAATGTCAGTTATTCTAGGGGAGCTGGGACACCGGTCTACCAGCCTGTCCAGTGTTCGGCCTTTCTGCCCTGCTCTCAGCTTTTGCATCCCCATTACAAACGCCACTCAGGGGAAGTGGGCGTCTTTATCTAGCCTTTGCAGTCTAATGCAGCGCACGAACGTCTTTCTCGAACTCTCGCTGCTGCCTTCTCCGTTAGCCTGTCCATGACCAGGCGTCAGGGAGCTGGCACCCTTCAGTCTCATAGATGGATAATATATTGCTGCTTAGAAATCACTGTTTGCTGTCCAGAGCTCCAATCGGCCTCCTCATTTTAGAGATAATTAAAGGCCACTGAGTCATCCAGCAGGGGCTGGCAAATGCCAACCTAAACATGGTTAATAGGAAAGGTGTCGCAAGAGCCGTTCCTCTGCTCTAGCTGTGCCATCAGGGCATCGTTTATCAAAAGTGCCCTGAGCTTGTCCAAAGACATGGTGGGAAGAGCTTAGGTCAGCCCCGAGTTTCCTACCAAAAATTCACTGGGTATATAATTTTTTGAACCCTGGAGTGAACCAGAGTTGGAAATGATGATGGGGCATCTCAGGAAAGGCCGTGCTCCAGTGTGGAGATCTCCTTCTCCCGGGCTCCTTGCCTGCTGCCCATAATGGACTGTGCCATGTGCCCTCTGTGCCCAGATGGCTGCTCGGAGACTCTGCCTGACACTGTAGACCCTCCTTCCCCCTGGCTTCTGAGCAGTTACATGTATTCAAAGTACAGGCACGGCTGTGCAGTAGCTGTGAGTGTTCTCGTGGTGTGGGGACAAGGTGGCACCCTTATAATGTCACTGTCTTTGTCCCCAGGGCTGTTTTGTCCACTCGGAACACCACCAACTTCTCATGCTCACTCAGCTGCTTCCCAGACCAGCAGTCTGAAGCTCATTTTGTATTTTAACCTACTTGCCCATAGAGCCCCCTACCCCGCAAAGTTAAATCTGGCAACCGTGGCCTTAAACCCCTCTAAAATATCCACATAGGAAATCTTAATTTAACAAAAAATGGCTCCATGGCCTCAAGAAATCTGGGAAGTGGGTGACCAAAATGAAGGTCATCCTCAGTCATGTCCCTTTTGGTGACACAGTCGCTCAGCACCAGAAGAAGAAAGAGAAAAAAAAAAAACTTATCAATATTATTAAAAATAAGGGTAGCAGCAGGGTTCCCTGTTTATTCTGAGGCGCCCTTCACAGACTTTTCGGTGACAGCATTGCTTGGTAACCTGCAGTCTAACCTGCTTCTAGCTTGCTGGACTGAGCGCTTCCTTGGCCTCCCTGCTTACTGTCACCTGGTGGGGGGACAGGTGCACCTCAGGGCTTCCCATGATCCCCACGGGCTGTGCTGGGATTGATAGTGAGTCCATGACAATCTCCCTGTCCAACCCCTCTGCCTTGTTTGTTCTTCTCCAACCTCCTCCCCCAGGGACCGACTCTGGGGTGAAGACTGAGAGGAGAGAAGCCAAGCATCCTAGATTGGGTTTTTCCGTGCCTTGGGGTGGGACCTCTTGCTCAGGCCTCAGGAATGCTGCTTCAAGTTTAGCCAGGTGGCTCTGGGCAGGCGCCTGGCGTTCTTGACATTTCTCCGGGGGCCTCTTGCCTCCCCCAACGACAGTGTTAGCTAATAAATACCTTCAGCATTGAACTGAAAACTGTCCTTCACAGCCATTTTATTCAGACTCAAATACGTAAGATTTTTTAGTGCAATTTTCTCTGAAGTTCCTTGCCACTGTGGGCTGTCCTAAACGTTTTTAGCCACGTCTTTTCCAATACAAGCTCACTCTTCACCAGAGATAGTTTCCACGTGTGCCCTCCCTCCCTTGGCGGCCAGCTGACCTGGCTGAGAGTGCTCTGGGAGGAGGGGCTTACATATGCAGATGACTATGTAACCTTGTGTAACTTTGTGACCTGTCAGTATACCCCAGCTAGTCCGTTCATTAGAGTGTCGCGGTTTCATTCAGTATTTTCATGCTTTCTTTTGGTCTGTGTTCTGTCAAACGTTGTGAATTTCTGTTTCCTTCAAAATAATGGACATTTATAGATTTTATTTTGAAATGGTGTATAGACACCCCCGCCCCCGGCTTAGAAACCAGCTTGCTTTACAGTTCTTGGTTCAGCCCACAGAAGCCTAGTGACTCTCACCAAGGACGGAATGCAGCGCTAAGTCACACGTGGTTGGCTTTCAAGGGCTGGCACCCACCATGGTGTACGCTGTAGAAAACGCATTCCAGGTTGGGACTCAGCGCCCTGTCCATAGCAGCGGCTTGCACGTCGGCAGAGATGGTAGCCAAGCCTCTCTCCTGGCAAACTGCAGCTGAGGGCCGGGAATGACAGAGAAGACACGAGGACATTCCTTCCCAAGGCCCCGATAACCATGCTGACTGTCCCGGCAGAGTCCCCTGCCAAGCGACGGATGCTGTCCATGAGCTGTTCGTATCAGGTAATAAGCTCCTGCATGCCAGCTTCTCACACAGCGCTGAGGTGTAGGGAGCTGACTTTTGACAGTATTTTTTTTTGCACTGTTTCTTACGAAGTCTTATTTAGATATTGGTCCTAGAGGATGTCGTCTCTATCCTTGTCATTGCTATAAAATGCTTCCTATGTGCCTTTACAATGTGAGATCTTTATTCTAACCTGTTTTTGTAAAAGATATCTATTGATTTCTACATGCAATAAACCTTGTTTTGATTGTTGTCAGAGAAAGCACTTAAGTCTTTCATTAACACATCTGCACTACTTGAATACACTGGCCTCCCTGTATTGTATGTATGTGCAAGTGTGGGTGCACGCATGAATGCGTGTGCATTCACATGTGCCATCCATGCCCACAGGGACCAGAGGCCAGCCTTGGCTGTCACTCCTCAGGAGCATTACCTCATGTTTCTGAACAGGGTCTCTCACTGGCCTGGGGCTGCTGATTCGAGCAAGCCCAGGGGTATCTTGTCTCTGCCACTGGGATTACATATATGTGCCATCAAGCCCTGCTTTGTTTCGTGGGTTCTGGGGACTGCACTTAGGTCCTCGTCTTCACATGGCCAACACTTTCCTGACTGAGCCATCACCCCAGCCCTATGGTCTCTCCTACTTCAAGATCAGTTTTGGTTGTGTAGTAGTGGTGGTGCATGCTTTTAATCCAGAGACAGAGGCAGACAGATATCATCTGAGTTAGAGACCAGCCTGGTCCACAGAGCGAGTTCTAGGATAGCCAGGGCTACACAGAGAAACCCTGTCTCGAAAAACCATAAACACACAAAAAGCAGTTTTGTAGGCAAAGACTTCTGGGAAACTGTCTTCTGTGTTCCTTCAGACATTTATTTTGTTTGCGATTTCTGATGTCTCCTCCGTGGAAGAAACACACAAGGAGCAAATACTGAGAAAGTAGTGGAAACAGCCTAGAAATGGGTCTTTCTCAAGCATCCAGAGAACCCTCATGAAGCATGAAGCCCCTCCCCTCCCCCACTGTCCTTCACCCAGACACTGTTGATGTGAAAGGCAGGGTGCTGTAGTAAACCCACAACCCACGTTCTTGGTTTTGTCCTTCAATTTTATAAAAATTCAATTCATCCCTAGGTTTAAAGCTGTTTCCCTTCCTGGTCCCTTCAGCCACAGTGTGCAAGCACCCTCTTTCCACCTGTGAAGAGGTGAGGAGGCTGTGTGCCCTTGGTGAGCAGGGGGCAATGTGGACAACTTCCAACAGTGGTAGGGTTCCTTCTCAGTCAGGGTTCTATTGCCATGAGGAGACAGCCCTTATAAAGGGCTTTATAAAGCATTTGACTGTGGCTCATGTATGGTTAAATTCAGTCCATTATCATCATGGCGGGAAGCAAGGCAGCATGCAGGAAGACACGGTGCTGGAGTAGGGAGCTGAGAGTTTACATCTTGGCTCACAGACAACAGGAAGTGGTCTGAGACACTGGGCGTGGCTTGAGCATATAGGATCCCTCAAAACCCACCCCCACAGTGACACACTTCCTCCAACAAAGCCACACCTAATAGTGCCCACTTCTTACGAACTTATAGGGTCCAATGACATTCAAAAACACATAAACAGTAAATCATTCACAACCCGACTTGTCTTCCTTATGAGTAGGAATACTGAAAGTCTCTCTGGGGAAAAAGAAGGTATTCATTTCAGCAAACCTGGAAATATTTTTATTAGGGGTACCTTGTCAATGGGACAATTATAATTCTTGAGATAAGAGCTACATGTTTGTAAAAGACACAACACAAAATAGGCCAGTGAAAACAGAGAGCAGGGAGACGGTGGAGAGACAAGCACTGAGCAAGCCCAGTTCATTTTCTTTAGCTAATTAAAAAAACAATTTTCAGTATTTACTTGAGAAATCAAACCATCAGCCTGAGGGCTGGAGAGATGGCTCGGTGGTTAAAAGCACTGCCTGGCAGCTCACAACAGTTTGTCATTATAGTTCCAGGGGATCCAGTGACCTCTTCTGGCCTCCTTGGGCAGTTCATACATGTACTGCACATACATACATGCATACATATATGAGACAAAACTCATTTGCATAAAAATTTAAAAATGTTAAAGCCATCAGCACATGCATACCTGTTAAGTCTCCAAAGAAAATATTAACAGAGACAAAGAAATCAACCTTTTAAAATATTTATGTGTACTTGTATGTCTGAGGGTACATGTATGTGAGTGCAGTGCCTGCTGAGGCCAGAAGAGGGAGTCAGATCCCCTGGAACTGTAGCTGTAGGTGGACGTGAGCCACCGGACAGGGGTGCTGGAACCACACCCAGGTCCCCTGCAGGAGCAGCAGGCACTCTTAACCACTGAGCCCTCTCTGCAGCTTGAGAAAAACAAATTAAAAAGAATCCCTTAAGCCAAAGAAACAAATACAAAAATGTTCCCAAGTGCTCCAAGCATGCATCAGGGTGAAGGGGAGCAGGGATCTCAACAGACTGCTATCTTGTGAGCTTACATTTTACTTTCCCTAGCTGTAAAAAAATACAAACTCTAAGCATTGAGAAAGACTGGGTTGGGCTATGTAAACAACTAAACCCATTTTGAGGCAAAAGTCTAGACAAATGGATGAGCTTCTCCTGCCTGTGAACAGGAGCCCTCAGGACGTCCAGAGTGTCACTGGCTGGGATGTAGAGCCAGCAAAGCCCCCAGCAGCTCCCAGTGGGAGGGAGGAAAAAAACAGTTCTAAAGATTCTAGAGTTATTGGGGGTGGGCTCTAGAGAGAAGGTTCAAGAGTTCTCCACCTTTCCAAGGACCTGATTTTGGATCCCAGCATCCATAGAAGGCAGCTCACCACACTCCAGCTCTAGGGGACCTGACAGTCCTTTCTGGCCTCTGAGGGCATCTGTACGTTCATGCAATAACAGTTCTTTAAAATTTTTGATTTAAAATATAAAGTTGGAAACCTTATCAGATGCTGTCCCTCCTAGGCTTGCAGTCCTGGCTCTCAGTTGGTGGCGCCACTGTGAGGTTGCAGACCTGAGGAGGCCAAGCCTTGCTGTCTCTGGGGTTGGCCTGATGCGCTGCTCTCTGCCGTGTGTCCAGCCAGCCTTCGGCTCCTGCCATCGTGCATTCCCTCCCTACTGCCGCATCCTCCCCTCCACAGTGGACTCCATCCCTCAAAACTCAAAGCCAAAATTAACCCTTTTCACCTAAAAGTTGGTTTTTTCCAGGTATTTTATCACAGCAAGAGAAACTAAGCCATACATCCAGCAACCCCTGGCAGATCACAGGCAGAGGCTAAAATGTTGTATTCTCCACCTAAAGAAAGAAAACAATTTGCCTCTGCCCGTTTATCATGAAAAAGGAATGGAAGCCGGTGGTGATAGCACACACCTTTAATCCTGGCACTCGGGAGGCAGAGGTAGACAGATCTCTGAGTTCGAGGTCAGCCTGGTCTACAGAGCAAGTTCCGGGACAGGCTCCAAAGCTACAGAGAAACCCAGTCTCAAGTGGAGGCGGAAGTATTTTCAACAATGAAGACCAACATTCCAATATACTTCAGGGCTGTTAAGTTATGGAAGACACACAAACAAGCAGAGGCCAGTGCAGGATCCTAAGGAGGTGTGTGCCCTGGTTCTCTTTGTTCCTGGCACACAGCTCTCAAAACTCTGGAATTTCCTGAATAAAAGTGACAGGTTTGGGGAGAGGGAGGGCTGGACGCTCCTTCTGTTCCAGGTAAACACTCTATCATCGAGACCCTCCCTGTCTCTACTTTGTACTAATGAGATAATCTTTTATTATTATATTATTATTATTTACATCTGTATGTGTGTTCCCGTGTGTGGTATGTGTGCAGAGGCCTGAGGTTGACACTGGGTATCTCCCTCAATTTCTCTCCACCTATATTGAGCCCCGATGGTTTGCTGAACCCCGAGTGTACTGTTTTGAGCTAGTCTGGCTAACAAGCCTGCCCCCAGGATCCCATCTCTGTGCCCCACGTGCTGGGGTTACAGATGGGTTGCTATACCCACCTGCCTTTGGGTTCTAGGCATCAGAACTCTAGCCTCGTTCCTCTCTAGCACTGACAAGGTAACTCTTGGCAGACCCCCAGGTGATAACCCCTGGGTGGGTAGAAGCTCTTCTCTAGAGACCACAGCCCAGGTAGGAGCTTGTAGCACCCAGCTCCACACTTCACCCTCTGGTGCTGGAGATTGGTTGCCGGTTGCCCGTGTGATGGAACCTCCATTAAAAACGATCCGATGGTGGGGTCCAGGATGCTCCAAGCATGGCGGGCAGTGTGGCAGGCAACCCGCTCGGCACTCCTCAGACTGTGTCTTCTGCGCTCTTCAGTGTCCTTCATAATGAGCCGTTAACAGTGTGCCCAGCAGTGACTGGGCATGAGGAGCCACGTGGCCAGTTACCAAGGACAACTGTGTAGCCAGGCCAGGTGGAGTGGAGTGACATCCTGGCGACCAGAGGATCTGAGCCCTCATGTGTACACAGTTTGATGCTGTCTGCTGGGCCGAAGGACCAGCTGGTGTGAGGAAACCACACATGCACCCCAGGGCCAGTGTCAAGAAGGTAAAAAGGAAACACCTCGGCCACTGATACCTACTTATAGACCCAGCTTCTACAATATGCAAAAGGGCCCCGCTCAGCAACAAAGGCATTAGACTAAGATTTTAGGGTTGTTTTTATAGTCTTAAAGGGAGACAAAAACAAATACTATTATTCTGGAAAAGAAATGATCATTATTTATTCAAAGTGTAAAACAATGTCCTATTTGATCTGGAACTTGCATTTCTGGGAATTGACCCCTCCCCCGATGCTACACACACAGTTATATTTAGGATAATTAATGTGGGCCAGGTATGGGATGCACATCTTAAGCTCAGCACTAGGGAGGCGGAGGCAGAGGCAGGTAGACCTCTGTGAGTTCGAGGCCAGCTTGGGCTACATAGAGAGTTCCAGGAAGCCAGAGATACATAAAGAAACCCTGTCAAAAAAAAGGGGGGGGAGGGAGGGACAGAGGGGAGGGAGAGAGAGAGAGAGAGAACTGGATAAAAACACATACCGATGAATGCAAGCGTCCCGAGGCGGTCAGGACATCTGCACTCTTACACTCTAAGGTTGGGAACAATGGCTGAGTGCAGGAAAAGGTGCCCACTGTTAAGCAGCTTGGGCTTGCCTCTGTATCTGGGAAAGGTGGACAGGCCTGACCAGTGGCATCTCCTCCAGGCTGGGGCACACTTTTCTAATTTCCTGAGAAACC